ACTTTCTCAATTAGCAAAAAATATGATATGTTTTCAAAAAAAAAAAAACAGAAAAAATTCGAATTCGTCTTTTTTTTTCCTGCTACTACAATATGAAACAATTTTATTATTATTGTTTGTAATCTGATTAAAAATTTTCACTTAAAAAATTTTGAGATTTCAATTTTTTTTTCTTTGTTTTAAATTATGAGTTATACTTAATATCTCATTGGTAAATTTTATACGCAAATTAGGTTTTGATACTATTTCTGGAATTATCCATTAAGTTTTTTAAGCTGTTAATTTAGCTACAGTATCCATTATATTTGCTTTAGATAAGTGGTTGCTACGATAATCCATTAACTACTAAAAATTTTACTATTTTAGCTTTAGTTTAATAGTGAACATTATTGATAGTTAGTCATTTTCACAATGTATCGAAAAGCTTTCGTTAATTTCAAACAGTAATTTTTTGGAATTTTTATTATTTCAGTTAAATTTTACCATGTTTTTAGTTTTTTTTTTTTCCTATGGTTTTAATTTTAATAAAGATTTATCTTTGAGATAATTCGATCAAATATTTTCCGAAAATTTAGTTTTATTATAACTTTATCGTACTACACTTAATGTAAAATATTTTGTATTAGTAATAGCTATGATCATAAAATTTAAAAATAAATGCTTACTTTTCTTATACTGCAATAACTTGAGATAATTAATGATTTTGATACATCAAAAGTGAACAATTACTGTTAGAGGATTTATTTCACAAAAAACATTTATGAAATTTTTCTCACATTTTCTTTTTTTTTTTCTGCCATCAACTTTGGATGATTTAATTGAAAATATTCAAAAATTTTTTTTTATTTTTTATTATAAGCTTTAAAAAAATAGCGAAATGATTAAAAAGATTTGAAAAAAAAAAGTTGAAATATCATTTTTGTTTGATTTATTTCTATAACATGCAATTTATTTTTCCTAGTTAGTAAAATGATTTTTTTTTTTTTTTTTGTGAAATGAAGTTGGAGAAAAATTTTTTTTCAAAGAATTATAAAACAATTTTTAAAATGGAAAAAAAGAATAACGAAAACGTTACAACAATGTTGTATTTCCCTTTGTTTTCATTACATTATAAAAATTGATGTATTTAATTTCGATGAACATTTTTAAAACTGACAGTTTACGGATAGGATTATTTCGGATATATTGTATTAATAAGAAAGATGTCATAAAATTTTAAACGTAATCATTTTTTTCCAATCAGTAATTAATTGGTGTCATATGTTCTAGTAATTGAATATCTAAGTATTTCGATGTTACATTTCATCTACTCTACTGAAAATTTTCAATTTTGATTATTTTAAATTATCAGAACTTGAAATTTAGTAGCATTTCTCATAAACAAAAAATTATATTACATAATTGATATGCTAATATATTATTTGATACGATATAAAAAAAAAAAAAAAAACTTTGGTACTATATAGAAGCATATTTCTAATTAATGACTAAAATTTGGATATGTATTTTTGGTAACAACTTACAGTAATATTATAATATTATTATTAGTTAATTTGTTTGATGAGATTTATTTTAAATCTTATTCTCTCCTTACAATAAAATTAAATTCCAGCGGCTAAATAAATTTGCTTAAGACGGTAAAGTCAAAACAGAAACACTTCATTGCTTTCTACTTTTTTAAAATCATTGTTAAATTTTGATGAAATTAACCCAGATTTTTTAGACAAATAAATACATTTCATAATTGACGTAAAATTTGCAGATAAAATATTTTATTTTCAAAACAATTAATTACATTTAAATTATAAATCCATTCAATTTTTTTCCATCTTATTTTTTTTTTCAGTATTATTTTTGTCTTTTTTTGTTTAAGTGTAGGTTTTAAAAATTTTCTTCGTCCATTAAAAATAAATGTGAAATAGGGAGTGCAAAGAAGTTATTTTTGCATATAATATTTTGATATGCTTAGTCATATACGTTCGAATTTTCTAAATATACTTCCAAAAAAAAATTTTTTTTTTCTTTTTTTAATAAAACGAAAGAAAGTAGTTAAGAAAAAAAAAATAAAATGAAAGAAAGAGGAAAATGATGAATAAAAGATAGATTTGGACAATTCCGGAAATTATATATGCCTTTTCCATATTTTCTTTCCCGTTGATTCGGAATTTTCGTACTCACAAATTTATTTTCCATTCCATACAAACATATTTTGTGTAATTAAATGAAAACATTACTGTTCTATTGTTTACTGTATATAAATATATTTAGTAAAGTTATATTGGCAAAATGCTATTTTTCATTTTTTTATTCTGTGTAATATAATTGCATAGAAATATTAGTAATTATACAGAAATATTAATTCTCTATTCTAATTTTTCTATTTGTAATATTTAGTATAATTAATTAAAATATTATTGTTCTATTCCATCCATTTTCATATGCATTTATTTAGTATAACTATATGACAATATTAATCTTTCTTTTTCATATATTTATTATAAATATATGGCAACATTTCTTTTCTTTTCTATTTTTCATACATGTACATACAGTATAAATAAATATATGAAAATATTTGTCTTTCTATTCCTTTGTTTTTTTGTTTTTTTTTTTCATTTTCCTTCTAAATAAATAACTAAATTTTCTACCCATTGTGAATACGAATGAAAAAGGAAAGAATATTGAGAAAGCAATTTTATCCTCCTATTTCATTTTTTTTTTCTCTTTCACTTTTTCCTCTTTCTCTCTCTCTCTCTCTTTACCTCTCTCTCTCTCTTTCGCTACCATTTTTCTCTTTAGTATTTTTTCAGCATAATTTTTAGATTATTGATTGATCTCGATAATCTTTTTCACTCTTTTTCTATTATTATTATTATTTAAAGATTTTTGTTTCATCTTTTTTGTTTAATAATTCAGTTGAAAAAAAAAGGAAAGAAAAAAAAAGATGAACAAAACATTTTTTTTTGGTTAAAAATTAAATTTAGATGTTATAATATTTCGGTATTGAATAATATTAACATTTTATATTATTTATATGGGTAAGATCATCATTACTCTTATTATCATCATTTCTCCCGCAAAACAAAAAATATTTCGATTAAATTGAAAAAGGAACAAATCACATAAATTTTTAAGTTTGAAAAACGAATAGATCATATAAAATATGAAGAATTAATTAATTAACTAATTATAAAATCAGTTGAAAGTGTTAAAAATTCTTCTAGAATTTTTGCTACAGTAATCTTAAGATTAAAATTTTCTATCATACTTTACATTTTTTTTTTTTGCTTCTTTATAATAGCTAAAAAAAAATTTTCATTACAAAAATAATTTTAAAAGAATGATAAGAGAAATAGAATGAAAAAAAAAATCGATGGATCAATAGATAAATAAATGAATACTTAGAGAGTTAAGTTAGTACTTCTTCAAAAAAGAAAAACATTGGAATAAATTTTTTCTTTTTTTTAAGAAAAAAAGAGAAAAAGCCAATAAACATTTATCCCTTCTTTTTCCTTCCTTATACCGTCATCCATACTCATTGCTCTGCCCTCTTTCTGGCATATCCAATATTAAGTTGCGATTACTGTAACAATTCTCTCTCTTCTAGCAAAAGATGAATTTATTTCATACATTAATAAAAGTTCTGCTCAAAAGCTCTTCTAAAATTGCATTGTCCTTATATAGCAATTACTCATATGAAACAGAAAGTGATATAGAGAGAGGGAGAGAGACAGAGAAAAAAAGAGAGAGAGAAAAAAAAAAAAACGATAGGGTTTTGCTTCCAATTGTATCATATCCCAATTGGTGGCTTTCAAATATATATACGGATATACTTCTATACTTTCTTATTTTTAAAGCAATATTCTTCAAGATTTGCTTCTTTGTTTTTTTGTTTTTTTTTTTTCTTAATTATAAATGCCATACATTAAGCATATTTATAAAATATGAATTAATCATGTTATAATCATAATTATTATAATCAACAGGAGTGCAATATTGCTTAAACATACATATAACTTTAAAATTAAATAAGATTGAGATAATTACAAATAAGATTGAGCTAATTATTTAATGCCTTAATATTATGAAAAAAAGAATGAATTGAAATATGTGAGAAAATAATTGTGAAATAAATTATGACAAAATTTGGTTAAATATTTTTTTGCACTTTAATTTTTCCTGATAACACTCTCATTATATTTAATCACTTTGCATTTTGCCACTTCAATTCAAATTTTTGGATAATAAGTAATTGAATGATGGAATTTTACATCAACCTATTTATTTTCAATTGTTCTTAAATTTGATTTCTAACTGAATCATATCATTTAGATTTAAATTGAACCACTTTTTTCGCCGTTGTAATATTTTTTATCCATTTGTTTCTTCTTTTTTTTTTTTTTTCAATTCAAATATATTAGAAATATTAAATGCTATGTGAAATATGCAATAAAAAATTAACGTTTCGTATAGAATTGAAGCAAACTATTGAAAAAATTTTTGTTTTCTATATTTTAATAATTTGTAGAATTTTAATTCATAGTTTTAATAATTAATGCGAAAGTCAATGTAAATTTACATTGAGATCATAACTTCAATATAATCTCTGAAGTCCTCACTTTACTGCCATTTTCCGTTTATTGAATTTTGATTTTTTTTTTAATGAAATTACAATTTTCTTTTCATTATTTCGCCTACATTCTCCAAAATGCGATGTAAAATAATTATAATACATATGTTCACTCCTATCGATGATTATGAAGTGTTCAATATACAAATTAAGCATTAATAATTTAACTTTTGTCATTCGAAAACGAAATCCATAGAATTAAAATCAAAATTCAATTTTTCAAATTCTGCTCATTTTGATTGCATAATTAATTTTTTTTTTTCAAAATTGTGCTATTATTTAGAAATTATATTTGAATTGAGTAAGATATAATTGCTACACTGATAATTTCATATTGTCCCATTCACAAATATATTCCATTCACTTTCAGATGAACATTGAAGAGATTTTACCTGAATTATTTGGAGAAAAACGTGTATACTATTGTCAACGTTGCTTAAATCATGGCTTAGAAATAAAGCGTAAAAATCATAAATCAGAATGTATTTATCGATTTTGCACATGTAATGATTGTCAGGTAAATGAGCATTATTGAAGTTAAAAAATCAAAAAATCAATTGAAGTTAGAAAAAATCAAAAAAATCAATACATTATTAAGCTAATTTCATGGATAGTATATGCATGTTTACCTTAGCTAAATTAAAATAATCATTTTTTTTTTTTTATTACCTAATAAAAGAAAGTTTTCATCATTTCGTCTCCTTTAAATATGATGTCCTTATCATCTTGTAAATAGCCATTGCTTTCTTTGTTAGCTTCTTATGATAATAATGTGATATCAAAATATTAATTATATTATAAAATGTTATTACTAAATTACGGTACTATGCATTTATAGCGGTGGTACGGTAGCATACGGTATCACTTTGTTTAATTCTTATGCAATGGTGCCGTAGAATATTATGGTACCATGGAATTGCAGTAGCTTCAAAATATTATAGTAGTATATAATTTACCATCTAACAACACTAATTACATTTGCAAATTATTAGTTTATTAGTTTCGCTTATTAAATAAAATAATATGAATTGTTTTTTATTTAAAATTCGCATTCTAATTCAGATGGTTGACAAACGACGTGAGCTGAACTCACGATTGTTACAAATTGAAAGTATTTCGTCACCACCACCTCCACCACCACCACCACCACCACCACCACCACTACCCCTACCACCACTACCGCTAGTACCATCATCATCATCATCGTCATCAACATCATTGTCTACTTTATCATCGTCATCATCATTATCATTATCATCATCAACGTCATCATCATCTTCATCATTATCATCGTTATCACAACCGCCACCAAATAGTAATGTTTTGACGACAACTGTTCCTCTTCTACCGGATATGAGCATGTTTTCTCCGATACCAGAACAAGCTATATCACCACCCGCTATGAAGGGAAAAGGTTGGCAGATGATGTTGTAGGTAATTCTGTTCAGGTTTAAACCGAATCCAGTGATAGTGTTTGAAATTTTTTTGTTCCTTTTCTTTATTAGTTTTGTTACTTGGTTTTGCTTACTTTTCTTCAGAAAGTAGACTACTTCAGAAGTATAAATAATTTCCAGAAAGGCGACCAAATTGTCAGCGTTGTGCCCAACATTCAGTGTTAGCTCGACTAAAGGGACATAAGCGTTGTTGCCCATTTCGAAATTGTCCATGTGCTAAATGTCAAGTTGTTCAAGAACGACAAAAATTGATGGCTGATCAGGTTTCATCTTTTTTTTTCTAAAGTTTCAATACATTTTCTCATATCTATTTAACATTGATAAACTGAATAAAATATATTTTTCAGATAAAATTGAGAAGGCGACAAAAGAAACAAAAAAATTTGGATGCATTAAGTGATAGTGACAATTTACGAAGTATTATGAGTAATTTTTCTTCGTGCTAAACATCCTTTTTTCTTTTTCTTCTTTTTTCGAAGTTTTATGAATTATGCATTCACTAAATTTAAAATACTTCATTTAATTTATATGTTACTTTTGTAAAGTTATGAAAAAAAAAAAAAATTACAAGCTAAAATTCTAAAAATATCGTAATACTTTCATGTCTTCCATTTTTATAGGCTTTTCCGAACAACAATGCGCATTATTTAGTGGTTGCTTGAAATGTGCCCAACAAGTATTGGCCTACCAGCAAATTTTAACATTCATCGATCCAACTGCAACTCTTCAGCCATCCACATTTTCAGCTATTCTTGCAGCTTGTCCGCATAATAACCATAAAAATGATGATGACGATAGTAATAATAACAATAACAATAATAATAATAATAATAGTCATGACCATAATAATAATAATAATAGTAATAATAGTGATAACTAATAATAGTACATAGTGAATAAACGTGATGAAGCCATAATCAATAAAAAAAACATACTTTTTCTTTTTCAAATTCTATTCAGTACTTTAATTGCACATTTTTTTTCGTCTGACAAAAAAGTATGACTTTTAATTTAAAAAAGAAAAAAAAAAAAAGTGGGTTATTCCAAATTGTATAATATAAGTCAATTAAATTTTTAAATATATATCAATAATTTATATTAAATATATTAATAATAACTATAATAATTATTGCATTACAATTACTAGTACAAATTATTATCTCTATAGTTTCTTTTTTTTTTGTTAAAGATATTGATGTGATAAAGGGTTCATTTCAATATTGTGCATTAACAGTTAGTTAAAATTAAGTGAAGGATAGCTTTGGACAACAGATTATATTAAATTAATCAAACCAAGCCAATGATAAGATTTGAATAATTCTTAAAATTAAATTAGTGATGATAAAAATGTTTTTTTGATTCGAATGCACAAAGATATAACATTTATTTGATTGGATCATTAGGCATCAAAGTTTAATAATTCTTGGAGAATTTTTCATAGTTTGATCTGAAATAATTTCAATTCATTTTGCAAATTCAAACTTTTAAATACCTAAAAGAAGTAGGAAAAGAGAAATGAAAAAATATGTTTTAATCTAATGCAACGGGAAAATCATAATGAATTTCTCACCTAACCGGATTATATAATTAGTTTTTTTTTTGATGTAAATTTCAACTTTAATTTAACATTGCGAAAATCTTAGATAACATTAACAGTTATATACGTGCTGAAATATTGTTACGCATAAAAGTTACGTTTTTTTTTTTTGAAAAAAAACTTCAGTTTTCTTTGTTTTAATACTATTAAATTCGAGGAAAACAGAAAAACAAAGATGGTAAATTTTTAAATATTTCTAAATTAAATTTTATCATTGTCATCATCTTCAATTAATAACATTTGATATTTTTGTACATAAGAAATATTTGAAAGAATATCGAAAATTGTTAATTTTCAATATTATTATTATTACTATTATTATTGCGAATATTATATTATTATTATTATTATTATTATTGTCTAAAATCCATGTTTGTTGCATATTGTAATAATGAAACTATTTCGGTCAGTTTTATCAATTCTTTCTTTTAATTTGTATATTTATTAAAAACGCCTATATATTAGAATTAATTTTGATTTTATGCATTTCGTTTTTTCTTCTGTAAATTTTAAATGCCACAAAAGTTATAATCTTTTTTTTCTAAGAATTTATTTATTTTTATTCTGCACATAAATTTAGGACTACAAATATTAAGAAATGGAATTTTTTTTTTTGCTTTGTTTTAGTTATATATATGAAAGTACAAACCAGCAGAATTTGAATAATCCAAAAGAAAAAAATTTTTTTTTTTTTTTTTTTAGTACGAATTGATCAAATTTCTGCCTGTTATAATTTATGAAAAAATAAGAACACTGATGTTTTTCACAAATAATACCATAAATATTACATTTGTCTCATGGTTCTTTTAGTTCAAATCTTTTTGTTAGAATTAATTTTATCTCATTCGATTTTATTTTATTCTATTTTATTTCATTTCATTTATAAAAATATGCTTTTATATTGAAATAGTCGCTACAAAAATTCGTAACAAATATAAATAGAAGTGATGAAGCCATAATCAATTAAAAAAAAATGGAAATCGCAAAATGAAAATAAATTTCAATTATCAAATAGCATTTGAGTATTGCTCCAACTTTGCATATTTGAAAAAAATTCAATGATAATTTAATTATTTTGCAAAATTTCACATTAAATAAATTAATTGTTTGAATTATTTTCAAATCTGTTCAGTGTAAAGGATAAAATTATTATTAAGGAATGAATTTTTTAACAAGTTCATTAAAATATACACTAATTTTCTTTGGGATGAAATAATGTCACAAATAAAATGGAATATTGTTGTTTATTCATAAGAAATAATTATTATGATGAAAAGTAATTATTTATTGATAATTATGATAAAAAATAATCACTTGTTGATGTGATATGATGATAATGATCATTCCATTCCAGTCTTTTTGCTACCGAACTGTAATGAATTTGGCATCAAAATTTCAATTTTTGATGCAAAAATTTGTTTTTCTAATCAAAAACAAAGGCGTTCATTGCCATTCCTTTCTTCTCTCTGTTTTGTCTTTTTTTTTTTTTTATTTAATTTTAACTTTGTATTCATTTTCTAATTGAAATCTAATTGGTAATTTATTTTAAAATGTATTCGGCAAACATGAGCATATTTTATATTTTATACTGTATTTAGTGGAAATAAAATAAAAATTATTTCATACTACTATGTTAATCATTTTATGGCATCACAGAATGATAATTTCTGTTACTTTTTCGTTTTCTTATTTTTATTCATCTTTTTTCCAAAAAAAAAAAAAAAACGAAGAGAATGAGAAAGAGAAATTTGATATTAGCTTTCAGTATGTGAAGAACAAAAAAGAAAAGCTTTATTGAAAAGCTACCACTTTTTTTTCAAATTTTTTTTCCTGTTAAAACACATTTTTTGATTGGATGAACAAATATGTGAAAATGAATGTTCTTGATGAAAAATATAAAGATGAGAAAAGACAATTTTTTATTACTTACAATAATCCATATATATATATATATATATTTGACCAGAAGAGTTAAAAAAAATTGTTTTTTGATTATTTTAAATGGAAGAAATCAATAGGAATTTATTATTATATATTATTATACTATTATGAAAACAGAAGCATTAGTGAAATTAATTGTTGTTATAACTTAATATTGTCATATATTTTATTATTACTATTATTATGAAAAGAGTAAAAAATGTCGAACTTTCCATATTAATATATTAAGTTCCGATATATCATTCGGTGCATTGATATGTAGCACATTAGTATATCAATATATATATATATATATATATATTAGTACAATACTAAATCACTATCAACTTGGGCACACCATTAAGTGCATTAGTATATTAAGTTATTAAATTCCGATATTAGTATATTAAGTTTCGAATGTACCGTTAAGTGCAATGGTATTATCAATTTTAAGTTCCGAATATACATTAAATACATTGGCACATAGCATTTAAGTATATCAATTCTCGGTTATACTATTAAGTACATTGGTATATTAATAACAGACATACCATTGAGTGTACTGGTATATTAAATTCCGATTATATTAGCATATTGTAAAAAAAAAGAATATGAAATTAAAATTTAACTTTTTGGAACTGCCATTACTTTTTATTTGTTCACAGTGATTTACTGTCTTTCGCTCCCTTGTTTTAAAAATTATTCATATATCCATTTAATTACTTGATGTAAAAGAATTTCTAAATACAAAATCAGTGCTGGAATAATTTGTTTTTTCTTTTCCTTTTCATGTCTGTTAAAAATGAATGAATTAAATAAAACAAAAGAAAAGTAAAATAGAACAAATAAACTGATATTTTAAAAAATCACGAATAAAATGAATTATTGGATAAAATGAGGTGAAAAATGGAAATAAATTATTATAAATATTAAAAAGAAAAACTATAAAATTGAAATTACGAAATAAAATTTTGCAAAAAAATTACAGTTATTGAATGAAAATTTTTGAAAGTATTTGATGTTTTCATGCAAATGTTCGAAATTGTAGTGATAAGAAATGTAGAACATAGAAATAGAAAAAAATAAGATAAAAACATGATAGAGTAGGATAGTTTCAAAAGCTGACAAGAGAAAGCTTAAAAGTCATGTCATAATTCGTAAACAACAAAACTACTACATTTTTTCTTTGCAATTCCAAAAAAAAAAAAAAAAAATCCCTTGAAATTGAATAAAATTACGCAAAATAAAGTGACACTTCAAATTCTGTTAAAAGTATTTTTTTTTTTTTAACTCTATCAGATAAATTTTTATCAAGTGTTTTGAAGTTTTACTGATTTTTTTCCCAAAAAATACTCAAGAATTACCACAAAACTATTTTCATGTTTTTTTTTTTAATTAATTAATTAACTAATTTTTTTTTATTCTCCTCAGTTTTTATTTTCATTTATTTATTTATTTTTGGAATACAATTGAAAATGAAGATATTTCTACATTTACACGTTGCACATGATGGGATAGTAAGGAAAAAGGCGCAATATACAGTGTGCACAAAAGAACTATGTTATTATTTTATTCTAAATGCTTCAAGTGAAAAAAAAAACGGAAACATCAGACGTAGACGTATCTTACACAAATGCGCAATAAAGCTGTTTTACGTGCTCACACGTACGCAGCGTGCAGCGTGCAGCATGCACCACCTTAAAGTGAAAAAAATACATCGTGCATAATGAGTTTGGTATTTGATGGCTCGTGCAATATTTACAATCTTGGTGTGTAATAATAATTCCGGCGGTTATTGGGTTATGGTCAGTTTAGTTGTATGTATTTTGTAGGTGTGTTTTGATGATTGTTTTTTTCACTTTTATAAATGATTTTTCTACAGAAATGTTATATTTCAGGAAAGATGGGTGAAGAAGGAGCATCGTCATCCGGACTTTCAAGTTCGCATGACAAAGATTCTGCTTTTGATGCTACTTCACATGAAGCAATGTATAAAAATAAAGGTAGTAATGTGTTGAATTTATTTGCTTCTCTCTTTTTCTCCTTTTCTCTCTCTCTGTCTGTTAATAGTAATAAGCGATTTTTATCTTGATTTATTAACAATAATGGATTTTCCATGTTTGGAAATAAGTATGCATTTTTGTTTTTTTTTTATATTTTACATATATTTAAGGAAAAAAAGTAGCATCAAATATCGACGGTATGATTTTGCAACAGCGCATGAATTACTATAATATTATAGGCATGATATGAGATTCCTCTTGTTATTATTGATGTATGTCATTTACGCTATCATAGGATATTATGACACAAGTGTATTTGTTTTCAGGAGTAAATTGCTAATAAGGAAATAAAATGATGTTTTAGGTATGACACCAGATGCTATGCGTAAGCGACGTGAGGAAGCTTGCGCTGAAATTCGTAAAGCTAAGCGATATGATGATTTAAACAAACGACGCCAAATGGATATGGCACAAGCTAATTTGGAGGAAGAATCAGGATACGAAGCTGTAAGTCATTTTAGCATTACTTATTGAGCAGGACGTTTTATAGGATAGCAATAGTGGGCTCATTTGACATTAGCATCGTGATTCTCTTTCAGGAAGTTAGTGTACGGTCGTCTTCAGCGTGGAGCCAAGTTATTGCAGTGGCAGGCCACGAACAAACTGATAGTTTTGATTTCCATTTTTATAAATTATAGGGAATTTGTAGTTATTGGTACTGTTTTTGTGGTCCTGAAATTTTTATTGAACTTGTAATTATCTGTTGTGTTATATTTGATGAAAGGAATGTAGTTTGGATTGCTTAGTTTCACGCTTTGCCAGAACACGTTATATTTCATTTTATATTGGAATTTAGGTAAAGTGGCTGTTATAGAGGAAATTGTATATAGATAAAATTCATCGAAGTGTGAACTAATTTCAAATAGCTGTTTTAGGCGTGTACTACAGTGGATGGGCGAATCTTTACAAAACTACGTGGAGAATGCCCGGAAGATATAGAGGAAGCTCTGGATTTCTATAGACGCCGTTTTCGCACAGGTAATTATATTGTATTTTTTATATAATTTTTGTTTGAGTTATTATTTTATATAATTTTTGAGTTCAGTATGAATTATCATTTGTAGTGTGAGAGTCACTATTCTACATATATATACTTCCTATTTATATATATATATATATATAAGTTAATGCCTAATAAATGGCCTGTACCTTTAGAAAGATATGCCGTATCATGATCATCACTTATTAGCATACTTGAAGGTATTTAATCTGCTGATAGCCGCTTGTTGCATGAATAATCAAATCAACAAACCAATTCTTTTCTTTTTTTTTTTTTGCTTAACTAAAAGAAAGAAAATTGAAACCTGATTCAAATAATGGTCGAATTATTTAGTTAGTTCCATTGACTGTTCAATTTTTCCAAAATCATTGCAGAACGAGTTATTCTATTTTTGAAAAGAGAAAAAAAAAATTCGTTAAGCATTTTCAATTTCTATCAAAATTTGTAATAGAATTCATTATGTTTATCTATGAAGAATACAATGTATTAAAGGTAATGCCAGTGATGTGGCAGATGAAATTGTTGTACTGAATTTAATACCTCGCATTGTGGAATTGTTGAGAACTGGGCCAACTTTTAATATACGTCGAACTGCTACTCATATTGTTGGCGCTATTGTTTCCGTCTGTTCAATGCATACCGAAGCAATTGTCAAAAGCGGTGTTGTTCCAGATTTGGTTGATTTGATTTGGTAATTCTTTTCTTTTTTTTGAAACATTTTCATAATAATTTCTCAAAATATCACTTATATAATTGAATGTTTGCAGTAATCCAGATCGTGAAATGCGTGAGCTAACATTATTTGCACTGGGTAACATAGCCGCTGAGTGTTGTGAATACAGGGATCTTTGCATTGGATATGGTATGGCCGATAAAATGACGATGATTCCAAATAGGTGAATTTTGTAAAACTATGCGGTCTTATCCTGACTTTTACTTTTGTTTTGCTCCTTTTTTGAGTTATTTGAATTTTAAGGTCGCATTTACTTTACAGTACTATGACATTAATGGAAGCGCGATGTGCTGTTTGGGCTGCTTCTAATTTATGTCGTGGAAAAAATCCTCCAGTTGATCTCCAAAAGGTTAGTGTACTTAAAATGATTACGCTATTATTAGATGCAGATTAGTTCTTTGTTAATCAAACTTCTTATCGTGTACAGTCTTTTGGAGCATGATGTAGTTTGAAACAATTGGCTTCACTTTATTTCATCTCAGTAAACTGTTATGTGCTTTCTACGGAACGAAACTAAAAACTTGTTTTTTTCTTCTTTGTATTTTTATTATTAGGTAGAACTCATAGCACTGGAATCACAAGTTAAATTAAATTGAATATCTGAATTGAGCTAAATTAAATAAGCAAATTAAAGAGTCGTTTTGGAATGTCTCTAATTATTTGCTGTACTTTATAATTTGTTTACATGCATCAAAAATTTTTATATAGCAGTGAATGAATTACAGATTGCTGTGCTGCTGCCATTGTTCAACGAAGCCTTGTACAGTAATGACACATTAATTATCTCAGATGCATGTCGTGCATTTGGTCGGTTGCTTGATGCTGCACCAGAAAGTTCATATAAATATATTCTGAAGGCAAATACCATTGAATGTCTAGTAGAGCATATGGGAAATCCAAATTCAAAAATATCTTTAGCAGCATTACTTGCGGTTGGAAATATTGTTTCAGGAGATGATGAGCAAACACAAAGTAAGTGAATATAGTTCCTATTAATTTAAGTTTTGGCCTGATTTTTTTCAGCTATTAAAAGCATGTCTTAATTTTATTTCAAAATATTCAATTAAGCAATTTTCTCGCGCTTAAGTCATCAAGCATCTACTTCTACTAAATTTATAATAGAGAAATTAAATCATGTCCGATACATAATTTTGTACGAGGAATATCAATAACATATCATAATGCGATCATCTTTGACAATTGATAATAGATATAACACAATTGAAGGTGTTTTAAACTGCGCGAATGCGTTGAACTACATTCATCGTCTCTTGCTGGATGGTGATCAGAAAATGAAGCGTGAAGTATGTTGGGTGCTATCGAATGTTGCTGCTGGTACGTCTTCGCAGATACAGACCATCTTTGATGCTGGAATTATTCCATCTTTGATACAAGTTTTGAAGACGGAAACATTCCAAGTTCGTTCAGAGGTGAATTTTCATTGCTGTGAAATTTATTTCTTTCTTGTTTTACATCGAACAGTCTTTCAAATATTGTCTCATGAAAATTAGGATTTTCAGAGAAAGATGCAAGTTCTGTATTAGTGGGTTAAAATAAGGAAATTATTCCCAAATGGAATGGTTCCTTGTTTAACTGAAATGCATAGAATGAGACTTTTGGCATCAAGAAGATTTATGTCATCATATTTCTTTAAGAAAAAAGAAAAAAAAATAGATCAAAGTTGTGGAAAATGACGATAAAATAAATCAATATAAAATTGTTCTTTCATATTTCGTTCAATTGTTGTAGAACATTCAGCATAGTTTGATGAAGACTTAATGGAAATTTTTTTCAACTGTGCTTAATTAATAGAATTAAAATGCAGTGAAATATTTTTTAGGCCTGTTGGGTGATTGCTAATACGATTACTGGTGGTAACAGAGAACATATAGCAAGAATTGTACGTGAAGGTGCTCTTACCCCACTTAGTGATATGCTAACTGTCATGGATTGCGGTGTTGTTGTTATGGTATTGAAAGCACTGAGTGAGATTCTGGAATGCGGTGAATATTTTAAAGGTAGTGTTCAGTTGTATTCAGTTGTTTGCTGACATTATTTGTTTTCTCATTTATTCCTCTTTATGAACATGTGTGGCATTTCTATTAGTTTTAAGTAATTAAGTAGCTAAAGTAGCATTTAAAAAGATATGTTGTATGCAATTATGTGTTTACTTATTTATTTCTGATAGATCAGTACAGGACATCAAAAAAGAATAAATAAATAAATGAAAAAAGAAAAGAAACTGGGAGTTCTAGGTCGTCTTTTTTTTTTTACAAAAATCAAAAGTAAAAAGTAACTTATTAATAAAAAATTTTTTGCTGATAAATTATTTTGCAAAAAAAATATGTGGACTTGAGAATGATCGACATGATTAAGGTTTAGAAAAAAAAAAAAAGTAAAGAGATGAATAATTGGGTTTATCAATAGTTCTCACCAGGAGCAACCTGAATAATGGATGTGTACTTATCGACTATATCAGTGCTAAGGAATTTTCCATGAAATAGTCGTAAATAGTTATTTTGATAGATATAGTTTACAAACGACGATTGCATTTTTTAATATTTATTATATTATAATTCGTTTTGCAGTTGATGGCCAAAATCCTTACGCTGCCAGATTGGAAGAACTGAACGTGGTCGATAAACTCGAATTCTTGATGTTGTAAGTTGAATTTTCGTGATGAAAATACTTTTATTATGGTTTCAGCAGGTGCATCACACGATTTGATGGATTTTTCGCCGACCTCTCTGTTTTTCTAGCTGGTAGAGATAAATAGTTCAGTCGTTTCATCGTTCTTTTTTTTTGCTTCTGTGTTTTCCAAATCTTTTCAGGTTAACGTTTCCTTTAATAATATTTTTATTTTAATAAAACCGAGATATTTTTTCAAGCATTTTTTTTTAGAAGTGCGAATACGGAAATATTTTTTAAAGCATGCACAATCATGGAGAAATACTATCTTCGCGACAATAATGAGGAAAATAATGCTGCTAACAATGAAAATAATGTAGTTCGCAATCATAAATTAAATAATTTTAATTTCTCTTAATTTCTGCTTTCTTTTTTTCTCCTTTGTGATTTATGGTATCAAATGCATTGAGGTCTTTCTGATATATCCACCGCTTAATTATGTCCAGAATTCACAGTGCTGGAATTGATTTAAAAGATCATCATTGATGATGATCTTTTATAATTTAGTAGTTTTTCTTAGTAAGTAGCATCCATTGTTTTTTTTTGGAAGTTCCCTTTTTTTTAGCAAGTAGCATCCTTCGTTTGATATGGTTTTTACGAAAACGAAAATCCAAAAAAGGGAACAGGAGTATCAAAAATCTATCAAAATGAGTACTTGCTATTTATAGTTTTCGATTTAAACAATAGTGACGTATGTGAAATACAACAAAATTTGAGATGCCGTAGTAACTTAACTTAGTTCTATAATACTTATTGATGAGAGCTTGTATAATGTGCAAGTATAGTCTTGAAAATATTTCTGATTATCGATTAGAGAAGAATGTGCTATGTATTGTCAGTGTAAAATTCTATGTATTGATACAAGAAATGAGTTTATGACAGGGATTTAAAGACGTTGACTTCTCAACAAAGTGAACAACAATAAACAACAAGTATTAGGGAGGATAGAAAATTTGAAGAGTTAGGTTTTAGGGCGAGATATGATTTCTTGACAAAAATAATAAAATGGAACAAAAAATAGTGGTGGTGTAGGAGCAATTGTGGACTTTTCGAGAACTTAACAGTTTCCGTATTCTTTTATCAAAAAATTCAGTCAAATAGATCATTGGAAAACAGATCATAGTTAGCATACATGAAATGTTGTTTTGGAAAAGTTCGAGATCGATTGCGGAAATGTTAGAAGGGTAAGGAAGGTTGAGTTGAACATGAGATTATCATACAAGTTAATAACATTATATTTGCTATGCACAGCATCATCGAAACTAGTTCGAAATCATTGTGAACATACAACCATTGATTTTATATAGCATTCTGATACTCTATTGGTTAGACGATTTTGATTCATTTTCTACTCTAAACGAGAAAGACTCATTCAAATATCTTTTTTTTTTTTTGTAAGGACCAACAGTTTTCTTTGACGACTTGCATCCATAAACGATTTCGCACATTTTGTATATTACATTATTAGCAGTTTCTTTTAACAATTTTTATTTTTGTTTAATCAACAGATGTAAATCTGGTAATAAATCAGTAAGTTAATTGGCTTGAAAGCACTCACCCAAATATTTTAGAGTTTTGACGATCAACTATCGGACTCAAAAATGAAACATTGCGCGAAGATTTTGATGACTGAAAAATGTATCATAAATCAAAGATATGTTTCCTTGCTAGATTTTTTTTTAAAAAAAAAAATTCCTTAAAATTAATTAGGGCCTCGAAAATCTCGAAAATTACTCAGATTAGCTAATTAGTTGTCGCTGATCGGTTGCTTAGTGCCACATTGATAAGATTATTTATCAGAGGGTTTGTTATACTAATTTAAAATCATACTGTACGTAGCTAGTTGAACAAATTAAGACTTGCATGTTCAAATTGCGTTTTCTTCATTATTGACGATTTTCCTGTGGCATTTAGACACGACTCAAATATATCTATCATAGTACTATTATTGTCTTCTGGTCCATGCAACAAATCTGTCAAAATTATAGCTGAATCATTTAATCTTTGTAACACTCCAGAAGATGATGCATGAGAGTCGTTTTGCCTGCAAAATATATTTTTTTATATATTTTAAATCTGATATTTTAAATTATGTTGTAATTCTACGAGACAATTGAAGTTTCGAAACTAAAAAAAAAGCAGCAAGGAAAGTTTTTTGATAAAAAGGAAGTGCTTCCTAAATCATACAATATTTGTATTGTTTTATTTTAAAAAGAAAAAAAAAAATATCATATAAATCAGGATTATATTCAACTAGCAGATTTGCTAGAAAATTTTCCTTATTAGCAAAAATGAAAAGAAAGTCTTTTACACCATACCAGAACTTTTTATAATGCTTCAACAATCAGTTATAAAAGTAAACTTATATAAAAAAAAAATAAATAATATTAACTTTAAGTCAGTTTCTTGTTAGCTATCTTCGTTAACTGTGTTTAGAATGACCAAAGTATTCGTTATTATCTTCCAAGTATTACCCTAATTTTATCCTTTGATCATCACTTCGTGTTAAATCGATCTGTTCTACATTAATGCTATCATCATTTTGTATGTTCATATCAATATTTTCATTCATTTCCTCCATTAATGTTGCATTTCGCTCTTTCACTGGTAGCAATAAATCAGTCATAATTTGCAAGAAATCTAAAAATGATGAAAATTTTCTCTTCCTATAAGTTTTCTAATTGTAATCTATTTTATAGCACATTTGACAAAGAATTTTGATATTAAAATTTCATTTATCAAATAACTTATACACTATTGTTTTTTTGTCAATACTCTTTAGGATAAATTAATATCAATATCATGTTAAAATTTAAAATAAGTAATTCAGTCCATCAAAAAAAAAGCTATCTCTATGTAAGATACAGTTTAGAAATGAGCAAATTACATTTTAATTGAAAAATAATATTAGAAAACACCTAAATAATGCCAAAAATTACTTTTGAGATCAACGTTAAAATCAGTATTCTTCAGATTATCCAACAAAGGTACAATTTTGAATAATAATTCTCCATCATCATCATCCAAAGGATCTATGGGTTTATTACACTTTAAACATTCATAAATCTGAAGTTAACTAATTTCAAATTAATATCAACAAATTGCTTTACTTTCACATTGTTTTCAATAATATAGGAAAAAATTAAAAAATACAAATAATTTTTCAGAAATATACCTGATTTGCACGTTTTATAACTTCATCACCAATGCCTACTTTGGATGCAACATATGATGCATGTGAAAAGTCAATAAAACCATCAACAAGTTTGTATTGAAAATCAAAATTTCCATCATTTAAGATTACATCCATTGTCTATAGAAAGAATAAAAAAAAGAGTTCAATCTTTTCTTATCCAAATTTTCATCCTTTCAATTTAAATAGTTAAATAAATGTGCAAACTATAATTCATGCCACTGTTTGGGATTTCTTTTTCCGATAATCTACAGTGATTTTTTGCTAAATGAAATTTCGCAAACATTTTGAACAAAATATTTTTTTAAATTGTATAATTTAATTTATGTACCAAAAATGATAATAAGTTGACATCCTTAACGATATGATCAATTAGTGAATGGAAATGAGATACAGCAAAAACATGTGGACAATCGGTTTTGCCTTTTCGAATCCAGTAATTCAATGATGATGTTAGCAGAGAGAGTCCAGCTTCCTGAAAAACATCACGAAGAACATTTTTTAAATAATATTAATATAAAAAGATTTTGTCTTTCAGCAAAATAGCTTGTTTATACAAGAGATCTCATTTTTCGAAAGAGTTAGAAAAATTGTTGTTGAATAATTAAAATTATGCTACCATAACTGTGCCTTTACCAAACTCATCAATCAAAATAAGGGAATTTCCAGTCCCACGTCGTAGTGCGATAGCCATCTGAAAATTTTGGAGGAAAATTATATCATCTGCAGTTATTATATTTTAAATCCTATTTGTTGCAAAAGTAATGGAAAAGTAATAAATTTAATAATTCACATGTATTTTGATTAAAAAAATCAAACTTAGTTTCAAACAACAAGTAAATAATTTCAATAAGCAATCAAATAATTAAATGAATGATACAATTTAGTAAATAACCTGCGACAAATCATTTGCAAATGTTGACATTCCATCTAATACGCAATCAAGTGAATGCATTCTTGTAATGATGCGATCCACTGGTCCGATAGTAGCACTTTTTGCTGGCACAAAGCTTCCAATATGCGCAAGAAATACGATAATTCCAATCTGCATAATAATTTTATTTATTATTTAAGAAAAAAAAAAAAATCATAAAGCTTTAAGAAAATCATTATACTGCTGCTTAAGAATAAAGCAACACTTTAACTCGTTCTTGCACACTATTAATCGATTAACTGAATTAATTAACTGAACCATCATTAAAATCCATAAACTTTAATACTTGTATTTTTATAAGACCATATACCTGTTTCAGGTAAATACTTTTGCCTGATGTGTTTGGTCCCATTAGAATTTTCACCTTTGTTTGTGCACCTCCAGAACTGTAAAAAATATTCGTTATATATATATTAATCCTAATCACTATAAAACTAAACTAATACAGTCCGATTCTTTTCGAGAACTTCTTGTGAAGGATAATATTTACTTATTTTGGTCAATTCTAGAATGAAATAAAAAAATAAAAAACATAGCTAAATCTAAATATGGAGTATTACACTTTAAAATATATTATTTATCAATAAACAATCCAGCATGAATTCATCAATACATAAATCAACTGCAATTATATAAACTAATAAAATTTTAAAATTGAACAACTTTTTGTTTACCGAATTGGATTTGGAACGAATTTAGTCTTTGATAGCAACTCCATGATAGCGTGTCTTCCATCATCTACGTCAATTACAGACTCATCCACGTAACGTGGACAATACCAGTTATATTCACGAGCTGTTAGTGCAAGTGAAATAATACAATCCAATTTGGCACAAATATTAATTGCTTGACGGATAGCTTTATCATACCGGCAAATTAATTGTTTTAGTCTAAATTGACAAACTTGAATTCTCTTATCATCATCTCTGTTCAAATAACTTAAACAAAACAATCCAATGAAAAAATTTAAAACTAAATAAAAAAAAAGAAAGTAATAAACTTTTAGGCGAAATGATACGTGGAAGAATATGCCAATTCAACATGAGTTACTTTTTCCATAATTTTTCTCATATATCTTCTATTAAAGGAGAAATGGAATTAAAAGCTATTTCAGAAATACTGCAACTGAGATTGCAAATTAACATAACAGTAGCTTCAAATATCTAATATTAAATTTGTAAAATATCAAATATATCTAATATCTAATTTGTAAAATAATTTTTAACTCAAAAACAAAAACATTTTTCACCTTGACTTTTTTAGTTATCATTTCAATTTTGAGATATCCCAATATTCCAAAATATTTTTTGAAAATTACGAAAGGAAACAAACTTTAACATTGCATTTGTTTCAATATCAATTATTTCCATCTTTATATCACCAATTTCTCGATCAAGTTGACGCATTCGATCATTTTTCACATGTAATGCATCTTCTATCTCATACAAAAGTTCAATCTCATTCTGAACAGATAATGGAAATACCGTATTTTTTGGTACCACTAATAAATAACCAAACATTGGTACGTAACATACTGCCGATGGTACATCTGAAATAAAATATTTATTTATAAAAATTTCACTAATTTCTTTGTGTTAACACAACAAATTCTAACATTTGCATAATTTCGTGAAAAGATGAACAAAACAATAAAAATAATCGTACTCAAAGCTACAGCTTCCATTCTTGCAATATGTGTTAGTGTTTCTGGCAATGACGCATACAATTTTTTCACTGAAAATTAGAATTCATCAAAAAATGGACGTAAACTAGTAATTTAAATTTGTAATGATATGATACTTGTACAATTATCCCTTTTTAAACTGTGCTGGAAAAAATCACTTCACGAATAAAAATGACGTAAACAAAAGAAAAAAAATTATAATATAAGGAAAAAGTATAAATTTGTAGAATGGTAAAGCAATGTTTTACATTGGTCCAAATTTCCATCAACATTTGCATTTACGACAAATCGATTTTCCACAAATGATTCCGAAAAATTGATCTGTTAAGAAAAAAATAACTGAGTCATTGTTCAGCTTCTTGTTATGATTCAATAAATCGTATTTTATAGGAAGAATTATATAAAAAAGAATAAGCTAAATTAAATTAAAAATTAAAAGACAGCAGACTTACAACTTCAAAAATGACAGCTGTGATGCGTGTAATATCACTGCCAACCATTCTTATATCATTCTCAAATAATTTAAGTTTTATTTCTCGCATTTTAATATAATCCATGATTTGCTGTGCTGTATTGCATGTCTTTAAAAATAAATTAGCAATTATATTTTAAAAGCTCTATCAATAATGAATGTAAATTTGAATTATTAATTAGACTTTTTTCCTACTTTAAGTTGTGCTAAAAAATTATTTTAAAAAAATTATTAAAAAATTATTTTAATAATATAAAATTTAAATTGAACATATGATTATAGGGAGATTTGGTAAATAGAGTGATAAAGGAATAAATTGGAGAAGCAACAATGAAGATTTTTGCAAAAATTCATCCTTATTTCAATAAAATGTGATCCATGAGGCTCAGTGCTTTATGTTATTTAGCTAAAACCTTATTTTAGCTAACACTTTTCTTTTTAATGATAAGATTTAATTGATTATCTCACTTGTAGTTAGGGCTTAATAGCTGTGAACATCAAAATAGTTGAAAAAAAAGATATGTACTAAAAATTAAAGTTAAATTCATATCAACTTTTGGATTTTGTAAAATCTATAATCAATATTGAATGTAACCATATAAAGATTTCGCCAATCATTAACCGATAAACGTTGTGATTTCGCTCTTTTGAGAATTCCCTAAAATGATGTCTGTAAAATCATAAATGCAAATGTACAAGTGTATTCAGTTCAACATATATATAATAAATAAATCATTTCAAATAAATCGAAATAAATATTAATATTAAATAGATTATTTGCGTCAAAAGATAAAAACAAACTGTTTAATGCTATAAGCCAGGTAGATTTTAAAAATAATTTCTATAGGAAAAAGTTCACAATTATATGTATAATCATCCCATTTAACCATTTAACGTTATTGCCGACTATTTTCATTGACTATCTTATAATATACAGAAAAGTAAAGAAAAAGTTTTAAGAAAAAACGTAAAAAAGAGAGAGCATTTCATACTTTTAAAATGCAAATTTTCTTCAATCTTATGCGTATGAAATCAGCTGAATCTAAATTGCAATCTTGCACGAAATAATGAATAGCTGTCACACGATTTGTTAACGTTTCTCGATTTGTGGTTGGTCTTTCAAACCAGCGCCTGAAAAAAAGATTATGAAGTTTTTTGGGAAGGAAATATCTGTAATCCAAAAACCTCACTAAAAAGTTAAACTAAATACACAGGTTTGTCTATTACATTAAAATATGTTTATATCTGAGACTATGAAAGCGCAATATTTCATGAAAGTAATTATTAATTAAGGACAGGTAGCTTTTTGCTGCCAAAATTTTATTACAGGAGTGAAAAATACCGAAGTAAAGCTTCGCCACTTTTTGACTGGCATCGATTACACATACGAAATAAGCTGATCCCTTCACGAGCACCACCAACCGAATACGCTTTGCAAGCTGACGGATGTAGATCATCTTGAAAAATTTGCAAGGCACGCATCGAACTGTCATCCATTTGCAACATTTCTTCTCTAAAAAAAAAGCCTATATTGCATTAAAAATATTTCCCAAAAAATATTCGATCGAATTCAAAAATTAAACCAAACAGGGTAATCGTTTTAATTGTGCTGATGGGTGTTTTCGTATTGATGTCTTCAAATTCCACACCTAACCGCACAGCGTCTAAATATTTCAACAAAGCACCAAAAGCAGAAATCTAAAATTGAATCTAAAAATTAAATTAGAAAAAAAAGGGAAAATTGAAACATTCGAACATGTTCTAAAAAGGAATTGGATATAGCATTCCTTTAATTGAGAAAAAACTATTCTAAAAAAGCCATGGTAACATTAAATACCGTTTATATAATACTTGACAAAATTGATTGCAAATCATTTAAATTTTAGTTGTTTTAAATACTGCCCATTCATAAAATCACACCAATAAGTTATTAATTAATAGACTAACCATATTCGTAGCTGTTAAATCTACTCGAAATGCCAATCGAAGATGATTCTCTTCCTCGGTTAAATTCAGTGATTCAAAAAGAGACGAAATACGCTTCTTAGCATCCTCAAAATCTGAAAATGCATCAATTTAAAAGTCATTCAACCAATCAAAATAATCAAATTATTTTGCAAATTACCACTCCATAATTAACAACTGCTCGTTAAGTATTAAATAATTTTAGTAGAAGAATAATTAATTTTAAAAGAAGAAAAGAACGAACTGTAAGCAACACTTGGCATCAAATGTAATGCAATTAAAGGTCTTTCCTCTGTTTGTTCCTCATTTTCATCGACATCCTCCTCATCTTTTTCATCCATTTCTTCTTCATTTATCGCAGAATTCTGTTCAGTTTGTTTGTCTGGTATTTTGGTAGCAGTGCTATTTTTCTCACCAAAACCTATTTAAAACAAATAGACAAACACAAAAAAAGCATTTTCCATAACAATCTTAATCGTGCATTTTATTTAATTAATCAAATTATGCATCAAATCAAATTATGTGAAAGAAAGATATTCTAATAAACAAAAAATTCATTAAATTAATATAAAGTTATTAAATTCACTCATTCGAAAAGAGTAAGTCTAACTGTTGAAGACTTACATAACTTATTAAGTTTCGTTAGAAGATTGACATCTTGCATTTTACTAACAATCACTATTGATGGTTCCAATTGCAACAATACTGCAATGAAATTTAAAAAAATGAAAAAAAAAAAAATGAAAGAAATTATTAGAAAACTCACTTCACCTATTTGAAAATAATGGAACATATTTGAAAAATAAATGGTCAAATGAATATTTTCCACTAAATTTTAAGCATTATCATTTGTGTTGCGAATAAAATAGCCAACAAAAGCAATCTGAATTCCGCTGAGTTTTTGAGATTCATAAGACAAAATTTTGAAACTTTAAGTTTGATTACTTATGCAGTGATTTAAAAAAAAAAAAAAAAAAAAAAAAACTTCATTTATTTTTATTTTATGTTCTAATTTTGATCGACGAATCATTGAAATTATAAGTTTTACATTTAAAGAAGATGTAATTATGCCAACCCTTTAATTGATCATTTAGAGCAGCATTTATTAAATAGGCTCAATTTTTCAAAATTTACAAAATTTTCTGACACAAATTCACATTGTGCTTCAAAACATATTTTGACAATTTAAAATGTGCTTTGAAAAATCATAACATTCACTTTTTTGTGTGTTTTTTCAATAATTTAAAATTCAGCACACTGAAAAAAAGGTTAATTAATTGCACAAATGTAGAATTAGGTAAATATATCACTGAGGAATAATATATTTTAAAAGTTTATTTTGAGCAATTATCAAGTAAACAAGAACAAAACAACAAAAATGTTCAATAATTAAGAGAAAAATTGAGATGAAAATTTTCAGTAGACTTACAGGAATGTGCCATCCGGAAATCATCCTCATCCTCCAACAAATCGGTCAGCACAAATATTGTGGCCGTTTCCTGATCATAACATGCAGCACCAAGTCTGTTCCGGTTATAATACACTGATAAAACTCTAGCTGACATCTGTAAAGCACATAAATTAGGATTTCAACCTGTATTAATTAAAATTCAACACTATACAAAATTTCCTTTAAAAAATTTAATAATAGTTCTCAGGAATAAATTTTTTGGCAAAATTAATAGCTTAGTTTTTGAAAAAAAAAGATTATTAAATTCTCAGAAATTAATACTTCTCAGATGGATTTCTATAATATTAAAAATTAATTCATAGCAAAATCACTTCCAAACGGAGTCCTTTTAAATTTAAACGCTTTTTGAACATTTTAAAACTAATTATAAAGCAATTTTTTACTCAATTTTTAACCAAAATTTTATCCACTAATAATTTTTGATGAACAATTTTTATTTTGTAAATGCAAGAAAGAAAAAATTGTCATTAAAAGTGTACCGTTAGGAAAATGTATTTTATTAACTTCAATTTCAACTAAAACCAAATTTCAGCAATGAAATTTCAGCGTTTAAATTAATTTTTCCAAATTTTACAAACATATTTCACTATTCCTTCATCCTTCCTCAATCCTAAATTTATTCTTTAATTCCTTTCCTTAATTTCTCAAATATTCATTTTTTTTTTTAACTTGGAAAATAATCATAACCATTTTATCATTTACACACTAATAAATTGCAAATTCAAATTTCAAATTTTAGTAAAAAAAATCTAAAAACTTACTTTGCAACAACACAAACAGCAAAATAAACAAAAAAATCTTTTACTTACTAAATTGTTCCATTAAAAAAATTAGTAATTGCAAAAAGGAATAATTAAAATTGAAATTTAATTGGTAAAATTTCAAATTGTAAGTTTACACGCATTCATATTTAAAATTTAATAGGCAAAAAGTACAATTCGCTGCTTTTTTTTTTTTGTTTTTATTGATTAAAAGTTACAAAGGAAGAAATTAGCATTCAATCACAAAAAGTGAAATTTTGTAAATTTGAACAAATCCTTTTCGCGCCATTTTTTTTCATTTCTGTTTTTTTTTTCCGGAATGTTCCATTTCCATTATTAGTCACCATTATTAGCTTCTGTCAGTGTTAAACGAAAATAATTATTGTTACTGTTACTATTATTATTATTGTTGTTTATTATATTATTCTTATTTTTAATTTCGCTGTCATTATTGTTGTTGTCAATGTTACTGATTATTATTATTATTATTATTATTATTATTATTATTATTATTATTATTATTATTATTATTATTATTATTATTATTATTATTATTATTATTATTATTATTATTATTATTATTATTATTATTATTATTATTATTATTATTATTATTATTATTATTATTATTATTATTATTATTATTATTATTATTATTATTATTATTATTATTATTATTATTATTATTATTATTATTATTATTATTATTATTATTATTATTATTATTATTATTATTATTATTATTATTATTATTATTATTATTATTATTATTATTATTATTATTATTATTATTATTATTTATTTATTATTATTATTATTATTATTATTATTATTATTATTATTATTATTATTATTATTATTATATTATTATTATTATTATTATTATTATTATTATTATATTATTATTATTATTACTATTATTATTATTAATTATCACCATTATTCTTATTATTATTAATTATCACTATTATTCTTATTATTATTAATTATCACCATTATTCTTATTATTATTCTTATTAATTATCACATTATTCTTACCATTATCATTGTTATTCCCGTTGTTTTTGTTCGAAATATTACAGATCATTTGGCTGGCAGTGCGTTTTTTGATTGTTTGCATTTGTATCTATTGATCATATGATCCTATTTTAGGCTTATCGAAGCGTTTCGTTTTGTCATCGAGAATATGATATGATGCTTTTCATAAAATAGTTGCTTTTGCTGCTGTTTGCTCTAGTACTTTCATTTCGTGATATTATCGATTATCGAGTTATTGATCCATTGATGTTTTTATTGGCAGCTATGTTACCATCAGTATCATCGTAATTATTATCATCATCGTCATCACCAGCATCATTACCATTCATTTACTCACTAGCATGTTACAGTTTATCATTTTTATCATTCAAATTTTACCAGCAATTCAGGATGTTGGTAAAACTTCACAATCAAATAATTTACCATCAGCACCACCACAACCACCACCAGGTTTGTTAAATGAATAAAAATACTATGCTAGTTTGTTGTGTCACTAAAAGTGTGCGTGCGCTTAATTTTATGGTTGACAGTTAAAGCGTAGGATATTGAAAATGAAGAGAGAAAAAGGGGTGATATTTTAACATTGTACACTTTTGTAAACTTATAGAAAGCTTATTTTAGCATTTTGTTTTCTGATTTTAATTTTTTTATTTTTGGATGTTTTTCTGTATTGCATTTGGTTGTTTCATTAAACCGTATTTATATTTCAAATTGGTGAAATTTTCCGTTGTTTCAGTGGCGGTGAGATTTGGTGAAAAAGATGCAGTACATGATACATCGTAAGTTTCTATTGATATTGTTATCATCAGTTGTTTTATTAAGTTCATTTGCACCTATAAGCATATGAGATCCTTTTTTAATTATCTATTGAATATTCGATTCACAGATATATGTAAAGATTCACAGATATATGTAAAAAGTTTTGAGCATATATGTAAATGCGATCTCACTGTAATTAACTTTTTGCATTATCGATACATTGAATTACAGTTTTGTAATCTGAAATTATTAAAAAAATTTGACTTACAAATGAAAAGTTTTGTATGTTCTTATCGCAGTTAAGTTTGCTTTTTAAACTCCATGAAGTTATTGTTATGTGTTATGATCTATTTGCTTTTGTTGCAAATATGCTGTAGTTTATTGAATGTTTCCAGGCATATCAAGCAACATTTGAAGCGGAAAGTGGATGTTCGCAGAATGTCATTCAACAAAGATTTGGAAACTTTTCATTATTTCCGAATGCATGATTTAAATAAAGATGGCAAAATTGATGGTGTTGAGCTTATTAAAGGATTAACCCACTTACATGAAAAAATGAATGGTGAGTTTTTCCATTTTTCCTTACACTAAAATTGGAGCAAAGCTAATTTCAACCTTCAATCTTAAGAGGTATATCTACTATAATAGACACTTATTATTGCAATGGTTAAGAGTGTTTCTTTTTCTCTGTTTCAAAATTTACCCTCAGTTCAATCCCTATAAACGAGGCAATAAGAAAGCTTATAACAATTATTATTACAAAAAAACTGATATAGGTCTGTTGAACGTTTCATTTAAGTTTATTTATTCAAAAAATGAAACATAATTTCAGAGAATACAGGATCGATTTCTGAAACAGATTTGGAAGATATTGTATCAGAGACATTAAAAAAATTGGATATCGATGATGACGGTTATATAACATATGCTGAATATAGACAAATTGTTTGAAACTAGTATCATTTTTTCTTCCTAAATATTTCGGGTACTACAGCTTTTTCTAATTTGTTTAATTGAAGTGAATAGAAAGTTGCAATATTATCTTCATCTAAACTCTTTCATTCCGTTTGGTCAATATGATTTCGTTCTTTTTTGGCTGGTATGTATTATTAAAACTTATTATTCTCAAATGTTTTCTTCATTCTCTCATTTATTTGGCAATAATATGCATTCATTTAGTACCTGTAACTTCCAGGTTAATGATCAATTTAGGTTGAAATTGCACTGAGATAGCTAATCTTAAAACTTAAAAAAAAGCAGGAGTAAAACCTGGTACAAATATTAGTAATAAATTAATTAGGATTATAACCTAACAAAACAAATGTTCATAGAATTTTCGTGCAAGTTTATCCTTCTTAGGTGAATTTGTTAAAGTTACATTAGACGGAAAGTGGTAATAACAGCAAAATGATCAGATGGATAATCATTTTTCCAGTGGAATGGTTTAGGATAAACAGTTGCATGACCTTGATATGTATATGACTGTATGGGAAAAAGCAGAGGACTACGATAAAAGATGTAATCAATTCTATCCTGTGGTTCCGGTATCGTCCAGCTCCAACCGGTACTGGTCATTTTTTCTACTGTTGACCATGTTATTCCTGATGTTATAAAAATTTTGCTTTTTAGAGATATTATAAAGTGGTCAATTTGCAGTACTTTATCCAGAGTTTAATAGGTGGTCATCTTTAGCCTTTAAATGATAATGCCGGATGTTTCCCTAATTGTTCTTACAATTGGAATTTGTCAAAGAGATAATTTTTACAGGGAAACATTACGTGAGTTTCATCTTTGAAAAAAAAAAAAGTTAATCTTTTTTGAGACCTACTAATTTTGAGCAAAATGAACCTGGATTTTCAAGAACTTCTGGATGTAGTTCTCGATAAGAATCTTTCATTCCAGCTTCATTTTGTAATATTTGCGTTGTTGGCCATTGAAATTTCCAGTTACCGTGAAGAAAACTGAAATTTTTTCAAATTTCTTCGAACATCAAGTAGAACTCATACATTTAAATCTAAAATTAATTTCACACATAATTTTATTCTCGTAAAAAAATTTCTTGGGCATTTCTATATTTTTGTTTCTAAAATTTCACTTATGAAAATTTCAATTCTGTCATTTTGCATTTCATTTTCAATCATCTTTTTTGCATTCATTCATACACTGAACATAAAATCAAATGTTTTCCCTTTTAGTTTTTCTATTTTCCGATTCATAAATATAAATTCAACGACAAAAAAAAAAAAGATATATCAGCTGGTATTCTAAAATAATAATTTTCCATACAGTAGATGTCAGTTTTCGTTTGAATTGAAATCCAATAAGATGATTCTTTTAATTGCTAAAATTAGCAATCATAAACTTTCCCTACTATATGACCAAATAATTTCAAAAAATAAATAAAGGGGTGAAAAGCATGCCTTTTTGTTCTCCAATGAATTAACTTCCTTTTCCAAATTTTAAAAAGAAAAAAGAAATTTCATTTTTGTCAAATTCTAACCTTGTTTGATTCGTCCAATCAAGATGTGAGGGTGAATTAAAATCACCACAAACAATCAATGGCTCAGTGGATGAATTTCCAACTGCAGCTTGAAAATGATCATCAACTATTAATTCTCGCATATTCTGGAAACGACCTAAACTTTTACTACTTTTTTCGAAGTGAATTAATTACTCATTGTTAATTAATGAAAATAATCTTAAATTTCTGACACAGGAAGAAATGAGAAAAAAAGAGAAAAAAAAAATAAATGTTTAGTTGAAGCAGAAAAATATAAGTAAAATTTTTAAATTTACGAAATTCTTGCTAGCAGAAAAAAAAAAAAAAACGAAATTTATTCATTTAAAAGATTTGGCGTACTTTTCTTTCTTTTTCTTTTTTAATTCAAAAGAAGAATAAAATTTATATTCCATCAATTACATTTTTATAGTTTATCGTAACAATAAAATAAGATGAAAAAAGAAAAGTAAGAAAGAAACAAAAACCTTTGCCATCAATCATTTCACCAGCCATAATTTGTGTTACTTTAGTAACCATTTTATTAAATGCTGCATATGGACCATATGACCTACAAAAAAAAAAAAAAAAAAATAGTAATAATAATAATAAAGTAAAAATAAGCGTAAAATATTTGGTCATATATTCTTTCTAACTAAAATCAATTTAATGGCTTATTCACTGAATGACAAATGATTGTTACAACGACAATGATATGATTCATATTTAATCATATTTCTCTTTATATAATCAGTTACATTTTTTTGGCTTCTAACATTTCTTATGATAATCAAAAAGTAATTCGTATGATAAACCACCTGCTAATTATTTATTAGATATCATTTCTAAACTACATTTTAAATTGTATAAGTTTCTACCACATATTATTTGTTAAATGAATTTCTTCGTATCTAATGTAAATCTAATTCTGTCATGGTTACTAGTAATTTTCACCGAATTAGATTTACAGATTCAAATATTTTATAAACTAATTAAAGATATTGCTAAAATGCCTTTAATTAATTTTTAAAAAAATTAAAGATAAAAATCGCTAATTTCATGCAGGTGATTTTTAGTTGGATATAAGAAATAATTAGATATAAGGAGATAATTTCATTTATTACTCTAAAAATGCTAATCACATATTGTTCTTTCATCTTTAAAATCAAAAAAAAAAAAAAAAAAAATTGCTGATATTATTAAATTACTAATTAATCTCATTATTGCAATTCATAAAAAATGATAAAAATGAAAGATTAATTCAAAAAACTTCGAAATTTAAAATAAATATTAAATATTAGTTCCATTAAAAAAATATTTCAACACTAACTGATAATCCAAATGAAGATTCCATATATGAATTGTTCTATTTGTATTCTCAATTTCTATTTTAACACCCATACCATGGCTTATTTGATGAAATGATTGATTTACTAGCTGAAAAATGAGAAAAGACTAATAATAAAATAGACAAAAAATAGTTGCGAAAAAAGAACAAAAAAATAAAAAAAAAAAAATGAAAGATTAACTTAAAGAAATTCAAAATTTGAAGCGAGTCATTTTAGTTTAAAATAATAAAAATTTAAACTAAATGATATTTAAAAAAAATTTTTTTAGGCTAAAATGATGATTTGCTCATTATTGTGTAAAACAATCAAAATTTAAAATAAGTTATATTTTAAAAAGTGTCAAATAAATTGTTTTATTCTTTTTGTATTTCATCTTTTCTTTTTTTGATTATTTTTGTTTGTTTGTTTTTAATATTTTTTTAAAAATATAATTTGAGACTAATGAAAATTAAAGAGCTAATGCTAACTAACTTTATGTTTTGTTAAAATAGCTGTATCAGGATATGAATATGTTGTTGAAATAGCCGTCCATCCTTTACCCATTTCAACCATTAAATGTTCCAAGCATTCTGCATCATGAACTTCCTATAAATTTTCTTTTTTTTTGAGAATAAAAAATTTGAGCAAAAACTTTTTAATTTTAATATTAAAATATTGGTTTAAAAAAAATTTTTTTTTTTTAAATGAAAAAAGTGATAAAAAATGTGTAATTAATACAGTAAAGAATAATTAATTATATGTAATTAATGAAGTAGAATTATGCTAAGCAATTTCATTTTTTATATTGAATTTATGACAAATTATCATTTAATAATTGAGTAATTAATTTATAATTATTATCATTTAATAAAAAATTGCTATTCAAGAATTACTATCATTGAGAAGAAAATTTTTAAATATGTTTGTTCATAAATTAATTGTAATTAAATGATGAGATAGCAATAAATTCATGCTAATAGCCTGATGCTAAAATTTATTTCATTAATAAATTTTCTTCTTCTCTTTTAATAAATTTGTTAGCAAAAAAATTTTTTTTTTTTATTTTAAATTATTTGAATAATTTATTTACCTGTAATGCGACAACATCCGGATCGATCAATTTGATGTGTTTTACAATTTTTATTATTCCATGCTCGACATTATCACCCGAAATCCAGGTATTAAATGTCATAATTGTGAGATTTGTTGATTTTTCATGATTAAAACATAATCCTTTCTGATATAGTAGTATTAGAACAATTGAAAATGTTAGTTCTGAGGATTTCATCCTAAAAAAAAAATCATAATTTTGTGAAATTTAAAAAAAAAAGTGAAACAATGTAATAGAACTATGTAAATAAATAATTAAATTAAAAATTTAGCAAAAAAAATTCACGAAAAACTAAAATCAATTTTTTTTTAAAAAAAAAAGAAAGAAGCAAATAAACAATAAAAACATAATTGTAAAATAAAAAATATATAATGAAGTTGAAAAAACTAAAGAAATTTTTTTTTTAAATTATTAAGCAAAAATCATAAACATAATTTAATAAAACTTTAACAATTAAAAGGAAAAAATGAAAATTTTAACAAGCAGTTATAGCAGCTTATCATTTCTAACGCATAAATAAAATTATTACTTACATTTCTACTAATAAAATTATGATCAAATTATTTTAATATCATTTACAAATTTCGAATAAAATTATTGGCAATTGCTGAATGAAAAATAACAAATGGTATATTAGCATTTATAAAATATAATAAATTATAATTAATGAATATGGATGGGAGGTAGTAGCATAAATCATAAAAAAAGTAGCTGGAAATTTGAATAAATTTAACATTTTAGTAAAGTAGTATGAATGTTAAAAAGAAAGGAAAAGCATTAATTTATAAGAAAAAAGGAAAAGGAAAATTTGAAATTTTGAAATGGACAAAAGCTGTAAATGAAAAAATTATTGAATTAAAAAAGTTAGAATTAATAGCAGAAGAAGGAGGGAAGTAAATAGTTAAAAAAAAATTTCCATCCTATCACATTGTAATGCTTAAAATAAATTGAAAAACAATTTATAAATTTTGATGAATAGTAAGTACGAATTTTCGAAAGTTGTCAAGTTAGCTGCGTTTTTCAATCTATTTCCTAATTAAAAATCAAATAATTAATTTAACTTATTTTATTTCAATTTTATCGTATTTATTTAACTAAAAAATGAGAACCAAAAAAAAAAAAAAAAAAACGAAATGATTATATTTTTAAACATTAAAATTTTAGCAATTCATTAATTTTTACAAATTATTGATGATTTGAAATTGAAATAAAAAGAAATAAATAACAATAAAGAAAATTACTTTTTTTTTTTTTTTTTTTGGAATTAATTTTTAAAAAAATTTCAAATGAATAAACGAAAAACAATTTTGACATCATAAAATGAAAGTTGTTCACAAATGAAACATTTTCAGGATTGAAAGATTTAGTATTTTTCTTTTTTCTTCTTTCATTTATTGTTGATTAGTATAAATGAGCGCAAATGTAACAGAAAAAAAGAAAAAAAAAGAATAAAGATATCACTCTCGACTTTTCTCTTTCTTATCTTTAAAATTATCGAATTACTTTAGCAATGTCTAATCCAACTATAAGCAGCAATCAGCAAAGATCAGCACAACTTTTTAGAAAACGGCACAGCGTTGATTATTTTAACCATTTCAAAAAATTTAAATGAGAAAGCAAATAAAGAGAGAGAGAGAGAGAGGGAGAGAGAGGGAGAAAGAGAAAAAGCGAGAAAGAAAGAAAGAAAGAAAGATACGAAGATTAGTTTATATATTTTCTCTTTTCTGTTTCATCTATTTTAAAAAGAAAAGAAAAAAAAAAATTTTTGAAAAATTCAACTTTTATTTCCTAATTTATTTAAATTCAATTGAATATTCTTTTATTCTTATAGATAATTTATTCCACTTTTTTCTTCTCTCTCTCTCTCTTTCTCTCTTCCTCTCTCTCTCACTCTTTTTTGATATTTTGAACTTTATCTGAACTCTTCTATAAACAACCTTGACATTTGATAATATTTTATTGTCAACTCTAAGTGAACATTTTTTGTTATGATGGAGACATTTTAAAATTAAGTATACAATTTAAATATGCAATAACAATTTATCACTGAATGATTTGATATATTTAAATTATAATATAATATTGCTTAAAGGTCAAATGGCAATCAAATTTTAGCCATAAAAATTCTGAATAAAAAATTAAATATATTATTAAATATTTCAAAATGGAAAAAAAAAATAGAAGAAAGGCTAAAAACATCGTTTCATTGTTATAATTAAGAAAGAAAATAAAAGAACACACTGCGACACGCACATACACGTACGTAACATACGTACCATACAGGCACATACTCATATGTATCTACAAAAGACACCACATACACGTACGTATGCACAAACATACGTACCCATACAGGTACATACCCATGTGTATGTATAAAAATAATAAATAAATCAAATTTTCAGTAATTAAATGTAAATAAAAAAACAATTAAAATAAATTCACAACTAAATTAAATTATGAATAATTCTACAGATAAAATAATCTTTAGACTAATAATGAAGATGTATATAAATAAATAAATAAACAAACAGGTGTGTAATGAGTGGGTGGGATAAAGGACATTTTTTTTAGTTTCTATTGGATCAATCATTCATTATAAAATCTGCCATCTACCAAACCTAAGAATAATTAAACTAATTAAATAACTCATACTTTTATTAGTTTTGAAATAATTTATGTGAATTATAACATCGTAAATGATGTAATGCATAATTAAAAAAAAAAAATAATAATAATAATAATGCTAAGAATGTAATAAATTATTTGTTAAAATATATTAAATATAATTAAAATATATTATCATTTACTTTTTGTTTTTATTTTTTTTCTTTTCGACTAAATTTACATATTTTTCTTAACATTGTAAATATCAATGAATGAAAAGGTTAGAAAGAGACAAATAGAATATTTGAATGCATTGAAGAAGTTTGAATATTTTAGAATTTCATTTTAAACAAATTTATCGATGAATAATTTTTTGCTCGGAATTTAAATCAAAATTGTTTCTCATTCAACTTTTCCGCTTTTTCATCTTTCATTCATTTTCCTTTCATCTTAACTTCTTTCATTTATAAATTACAATTGGAATACTTCTGCTAGGAATATTACTTGAACTAATAATTATTGTCAAGTTTTTATCATCTTTAATTAACAAAATAACATGACATTATTTTTTTATTTATAAATATTATTAACAATTATTAATTATTAGTTAACATCATTAATTAATTAATTCACACATTTTTTTTTTCATCCATTTTAAAGAAGAACAAAAAATTCAAAAATAGATGGGATAATAAAAAAAGTAATGAATGAAATAATTAAATGATTCGTTAAAATATAAATTCAAAAAAAAAAAAAAAGGAAGAAATAGTGAAATATGTAATAAAATTAAAAAACAGGTTACTGCGTATTAGATGCAACCAACAAAATAAATATTCCAATAAACATGTCAAATGATAAAACAAAGAGAATTCAAAAAATTCAAATAAACAAATTGAAATATTCAAATGAATAAATTGAAAATTTAAATATGCAAACAAGTTATGCAAGAATATTGAAATAAATAAATATTCAATGAAACAATAGCTGAACAGAAATAAATTGAAAGAATATGAGAATGAATAAATTTTGAATATTGAAATGAAATTCTAAATAAACACACACTAAATACCAGAATGTTTATTTATGATAAGAAAATATACAATGTTGAAAATAAATGATTTTGTTCTTTTGCTTCCTTCCTTTCTCATTTGGTTGCATTAATCATTCGAAAGTTTAAATTTGAAATCAAAAATGAAGTAAACTTTTTGAAATTTTAAAAGAGTTACAAAACAGAAAAAGTGTTAATTTTTTGCTTCAGCAAAATTATAAAATGAGTGAAATATGACACTTATTTTTAATCATTTTTTTATATTGAATTAAATAATTCAACAATTAGTTCATCTATTTCATAACATGAAAATTTGAATTAAATGTTTATAAAAATGCAAAAATGAATTAAATGTTTATAAAATGTTTGCATTTTAGCAATTTAAAATGCATATTTGTATAAAAGAAATAGTTGAATTACCAATAAAATGATCAATAACAACTGCAATTGCAATAATAATAATAATAATAATAATAATAATAATAATAATAATAATAATAATAATAAATAATTAATGATAATAAAATACAATGAATAACAGCAAAAAGAATGTAATAATAAATTCATTATTATCAAAATTAAAATAAAATGTTTTTTGCATAAAGCAAAACATATTTGACTGAATTCCCATCAAAATACAAAATGGATGAATGAATGAATGAATAATAAAACTGCGACAGTTGAATATTTCAAAGTGATAAGAATTCATTCATAACATAACATTTGATCGTTATTTCTTTTGATATTATTATTATTGTTATTGTGTATTTGTTCAGAAAAGAAAATTCATTGCACAGAATTGTAAATCAAACCAAGAAATTGAACAATAATTGCTTAAATTTTAAAGTAATTAGATCAAAATAATATAAAATGCAAGAACTTACTTAAATTTTTTTGTTTGATCGATAATACAAATATAATTACCACAATTGGTATTTAAATATTCTCGAAAATAAATTGATAATGCCTGTGAAAATGAATTAATTCATTGGTTATAATAATTAAGGTAAATATGCATAATGAGTAAAAATGACATAATTATAGCGAAAAAAAACAACATCAGTGGAAATTAAAGTAATTAATAACTTATTAATAACTTTAATTAATAATATATTCCATTTAAATTATGGTTTACAAATGTTAATAATTATAGTTGACAAATGTAAAATTAGCTTTAGATCCCAGGAAAATCATAATTCGTAATGTTTGCAATGAATAATGTTAGCATTGGTTATTTACATTTATTTTCTAGCATTGTTATTGCGCAATTGTCATTAGAATTCACTTGCAATGAATAATGTTAGCATTAGTTATTTACATTTATTTTCTAGCATTGTTATTGCGCAATTGTCATTAGAATTCACTGCTGCTGCGCATCTGTCGCACAGCATCAATAGTAGCATTTTAAATTATTTTCTTATTCTTTTTTTCATGTTCATTTTTATCTATTTTTTTTTTCTTTTTTTTTAGGACAAATTATTTGTTATGGAAATATTGCTAGTTCAGAATTTCGTTTAGTATTTATTGTTTGAGCTAAAATTTTTTATTAAATTACATAAACGTTTTATTCATATCTTGTCAAGTTTATTGATACGGTATCAATGAAATGTTGCAGTAAAAAATATATTGCATTTACATATTTGAAAGTATTAAAATAATTAATTGATTTCTTGTTAAATTTGCAAGAAATGACTTTCAAATATTTGACAATTTAATTATGTTTTTAAAATCTGATTGAAATGATATAATTTATATACAACAAACTTAAAAAAAGCTAAGTTACAAATGATAAAATAAATCAAAAACTTAAAAAATTTATGAACTTCACACAAAGTATTGTGTAATTAATCAATAAATATTTGTTGATATTATCAAAACACAGTTCAGTTCAGAAAAAAAATTAAGCCTGAAAAATGAATTTTGACTTTTTTATCTTTTTAACAGGAAAGGCGACGTGCGTTGATAAGCTAATTTGCCACTTTCAAATATATGTGACAATTAAGTGCAATATGAAGACTAAATTATTTATTTATTAATTATTATTGTTATTATTATTATTATTATTATTATTATTATTATTATTATTATTATTATTATTATTATTATTATTATTATATCCTATATTATCGAATACTTATTCACAATTTAAATTTCTTTTTTTATTTTAATAATTATAAAGAAATTTTATGAAAAAAGAAATTCATGTCTAACTAATATGTTTTTTCTCAATATATTATTAAAAAATGTTAAATTTTCATGAAATAATCAAATGATAGGGGAAAGATGTTATTATATTAATTGAAAAATGATTTTTATGCAATGCTTTTAAAAATATCTTTTTATAATATATGATTTATTCTTATTGTTATTTTTGTTTCAAATTTATTTTAAATAATAATATGCTTCCGATATTTCATTAATTTCTTTTTTTATCTAAAAAAAAGAAAGAAAAAAAAACAGATGAACTGATTAGTATCGAATTATAATGATAGTTAAATATTTTTTCAAATTTCACTATCCTTTGTATTTGATTTTAAAATAATTATTGATAAGTTTAGCATATATTTTTTTTATTTCCAATATAATTATACAACTTTATCTTGTATCAGTATAACATAAATTAAATTATTGCTATCAAATTTATTATAAAAATGAATTGATTTTATCAATTCATCAATTTCTTTATCACCGCATAATAAAATTGTTTTATTGTTATCATTTGTCAATTGTCATTGAGTTTCTAAAATTATTTAAAATTATAAAATTATATAATCATATTCATAAATTTATTTTGAAATTTAATTAAATTTAATACCCTTAAATATCCAACAATTACCGCTTTACCTATATTCAATTCTATTTTTGAGTGATTTAGTTAATTAATAAGTTATGACACTCATTGCATTTAAAGTCAATTTGAAATATTAAAGAATTTTCCGGAAAAAGTGACTTATAGTAAGTATCTATCGATTTTCAGCAGATTCTTCCGGAAAATGACAAATATTATTCTCACCCGAATTGTAATATACTTACTAGTAGAAGAGTAGAGAAAGTTAATTTAGCGATTTCATTCTGAAAAAGAAATTTCAAAATATTGAAGAAATTAAATGTCAGAGTTATTAAGTTAAAATAGTGAAATAGTTTAAGGAGAAATTCGGTACAGTTTTCTTATAATTCCAATTTTAACTGTCCAAATTGATATGACAAATGATAGATAATACTTTTTATTGTTTGTTAACTTTTAGTAATTCGTACTAAAAATTAAAGTTCCAAAAATGCAATTTAAAATTGTTAAAAAAATATAACTTTTAACTTCCATTAAGTTTTATTAAGAATTTTAAATTTACAATTTGCTGTGTAGCATGCGTAAATATTATGACTACATTTAAATACTAAAAATAAATTCAAAATTTAAATTTTCAAGTTTTCAAAAATTCAATTTTAAATTGCTGAAGAAATAATGAAAGCATTATTTTTGACTTTAAATAAGTTTCGTCAGAATTTTTTGCAAATTTTAAATTCAGCAATGTGCTACTACTCTTATCGAATGATCAAATGGCTAAGAAATGTAATTAATTACATGAGAACAGTCCATTCTTATCAAATCAAACGATCTAATGGGTAAAGGAATGTAATTAATAACATGGGAAGTCCATTTGGTCATTTGATAAGAGTGACCAAATGGATAAGGAATCTAATTTATAATTACATGGGAAAAATGCGCTCTTATCAAATGACCAGCATAGTGGTCAAAAAATTATGGCAAATCTTGTACAAAGTGCAAAAGTCGTTTAAAAAAATTCTTTAATTCCTCTTATTCATTAAAATTAGGATAAAAACAGAAATTTTTTCAACTTGAAAATTAAAAATAATTACAAGACAAAATTTTTTGAATTAATTAATTTAGCAATGACAATTCTGTTGTCATTCATTTTCAATTTATTTCAAATAATTATAATTTTTTGGATCGATAGCATGTGATAATGATAAAAATTGAAAAGATATACATAAATATTAAATTAAAATTATATATGTAAATAGTAAATTTAAAAAAGTTGAACATAAATAGTAAACAATTTTAGGGAAAAGATATATACAAGTAGCAAATTTAAAACATTCATTGGAAAAAATATGCATAAATAGTAAATTTAAATTTTGCTAGAAGAAAAAAGAATTTGAATTTGCTTGCAATAATTTTTTTTAACAACAAAAAAAAAAATTAAATTTCAGTGATATAATTTAAATTAGTAATAAATTTTATTGTAATTTATATTTCTACCATTGATATTATTTTGTTAGAGCAACAAAAAATGATAAAAAAGGAAATTGTAAAGGAGAAGTGTAAAAAATGAAAATGGCAGGTTCAGAGGTCACTCTTCTAATTTAAGTATTATTCGTTCATCATCTTTTTTTCTTGCTACTCTAAAGAGAATGATTACTTCAATTTCACTTCTCACCTCTCCCTCTGTTTATCCCTGCATCCCTCTCTCTTCTCTTTTATCTTTAATTGACCAATTCTATTTTATATAAAAAACTTTTTGTTGTTGTCATTTAAAAAAGGTAGCAAAAATTAGGCTAATATATTACAGTACGAAAAAAAAATTCATCAATAGTTCTAATAAATAAATATTTATTCTTTTTTTTTTAGACGATATTTTTAAAATTTAATTTTTTTTTTAATTAATTAATTTTTTTTTAATTTTTCTTTTCGTTCTATGTTATGCTTTTAATTGCAGAAATTAAATGTTTAATTTATTTTTTCTTACAGACAACAAATTTTGCATACTTTTAAAATATTAAAATAACCACAAAAAAAATTCGAAAGAAAAAGTTATGTCAATAAAATATTCAAATTTCAAGTGAGATAACATTAAAAGTTTACTTGCGGATATGCAAATTCGAAGAGTAAAAATAATTAACGTAGTTCGGTGAGGAAAAAAAAAAAAACATTTATATCTAAAACAATTTTTAAATTTTCATTCAAAAAATATTTTCTAAAATAATATTTTTCAACAATATTTATTTATTTAATTCATTTCTTTTTTTAACGTTTAACTTTTTTTTTTTTTTTTTTCTGAAATAATGTTAAATAATAAGTGATAATACCTGATATTTTCATATTTTTTAAAATTTCACTCGTTTTATTGCTCTTTTTTTCTTCATTTAAAAATTTTTTCTTTTTTTTTTTTTTGTTTTGTCATTAATTCAAAATTCGAATGATTTTATAAAATGTAAAAAATTAATTCTTGAATTGTAAATCGATTCTATTTAGCAATAATCATTAAACATTGAGTGAAAAAAATTTGACAAAAATAATTGATCATTTACAATTAACAAAAATAATTTTGAAAATAAAATTTTTTCTCTTTTTTTTTTTTTTGAATTTGTTTATTCGAAATATTTTTATTGCCATTATTAATTGATTAATAATTATCACAATTTTCTCTTTCTTTTATTGCCAAATCTCGTATGAACTGAAAGAAAAAAAGAAAAAAACAAACTTTTCATATGAAAAATTTCACTTTTGTTTTTTATTGAACTTTTATTTATTCTATTTTGTTAATTTAATACAATTTAAAATTCCAAAGTATTAAAATTTTGAATTAAAAAGAATTTAGAAAATGGAAAAATTTTTAAAGATCCTATTTTTACTTTTTGTTTATATCACAATCGTTATTAATTTGAAATAATATGAAATGAAAAAGAAGATAGAAAGAAGTTGATTAGAAAATATTGCTGCATTATTAATTAAAGGAAAAAAGATTTTGTTTATTTTTATAAACAAACATTAAATACTAATAAAATTAATAATACATTTTTTTTTTTTTGCAATTTTTAGCTTATTTTTTAAAATTTTTTTTTGATTATTGCAAACTTTTGCTTTGTTTGAATTATTTAAAAAATTTCAAACCTTTTTAGCTATTGCAAAACTTTGTTTTGTTTGATTAATTAAGCCAATATCAGCTGCATAAATTAGCAATGCTTCTAATAAAATGATAAAATAATAAAGGCTATTCATAACATGATAACGATAACTACGTACAGCTAAACATGCTGTTATCAGTGAAAGTTGTCCACGTTCTGTCATCTAAATTTATTAATTTAATTAATTAATTGAAACAATTGAAATGATTCATTTGTTTATGAATGAATATTAATTAATGTATTTAATAAAATGAATTTACGATTCTTTTTTTAATAAATTAATTCAGTAATATTAGTTAAATATTTCATTTCAACCACATTTAACAATTTGATTTGAACAATTATTGATTATCAATGATTCAATAAATTATCGTTTAAATTTAATAATTTCTTTCGTAATAAATATTTTAATTAATTAGTTACTAACAAATTATGCTAATTAATTATATTACTTACCCATATATTACTTACCTGTTTGCAAAGTATCGAAAGTAGTACATATGTTCCAGTTCTTCTAGTACCACTAACACCATGTACTAATATTGGATATTTTTTATCTGATACATTACTTTGTTCAATTGCCCATGCTGCTCGAAGAAGACCGAGTAGTTCAGTTATTACAGGTCGTTTCGATACCTTTGAAAATTCATATTTTTAATTATTTAATTTTTATTTATTTAAAAAAATTATTTAATTTAAATCATTTAATTCATATTTTAAATTATGTATCAAAATGAAATTTTATTTTCACTGTATAAATTCTAATTAAAATGTAGCAGAACTAAACTACCGAAAAAGAAATTAAGTTTGAAATTTGAAATGAAAAAAAAAGGATAAAACTACATTAATGCAATTATGAAACAATTTTTTATTTCAGTTAAAAAATTTAATCTATTAAAATAAAATGCAAATAATTTGAAATTTTATAGTAATATCTAAAAAATTTCCAAATCAGATATTAATTATTCATTCATATTATTACATTTTTAAATTCTTTTTTTTCAAAAAAAAATTTTTCTCCTTTATTTACCATATTTTGATCACTTATTTTTATCATTAAAAAAAGACATCATTATCAGTTGATAATACTTTTTTCTAATGAGAAAAAGACATACTTCTTGCCAGCCACTAAAAACAAGCACATATATTGTACGTTCACCGAGATCATATTTATTTGTTAATTTTAAAATAAATGTTGTAATTGAACCTTCTATTCGTGATGAAACTGTTTTAATCATAAAATATTTTTGCTAAAAACTAATTATATTTTAATTTTATTTTAATTAGTTCATTTGTTTACAATTAATTTCAGTTGAAATATATCAAATTATGTATGAAATAGAAATTGTCTCCAAATCCTTTTTTTTTTCTCTCTAAATGAGATAATATTTAATGATTTTTCAATATATAAGAAATAATTTTTTTTTTTAAATTGTCAATCAAAATTTTTAATTTATATATATTATTAAGTAAGATTTGCAGCTTCTACTACAAACTAATTTAAATCATTTTCTGAATTATTTGTTTTTATATATTCGTTGCAAAATCATTTTCAAAATAAATTTAAAATTACATTCAGTGTAATTTAATCCTATGAATATTGGCCTAAAAAATAGTATTCATTTTAATTTGTTTATCTTCGGAAATTATACAAATAGCAATGTAAATATCAAATTGTTATTGCTCTTATCAGTGTCTCCATAAATATTAGCATTGTTCTTATCATTTTATCATGTTAATACAACTAATAGACTCTTATTGGTGATGTTATTATCATTATTGTTATTAAAAGAATTGTCTCTTAAATATTAATAAAAACAAAATGAATACATTGAATTTTTTGCCTTCTTCTTTTTCAAAATATTTGGCGCATTTGTCTTCGGAAATGAGCGGTATTAAGCAAATAATAATTGTAACATTAAATTGCCAAATCATACGTAACCATGAATTTATTGTTGTACGCTTTGGACTCTAATAAACTTTTCTCTAATTTGATATGAAAAACAAATAAATAAATAAACAAGCAAACAATTCATTATTATATGAAATTAACAAAATAATTGCAATTATTATTTTTTTTTAATCGATTTAAAATTTTATTTGAATTGAATTAAATTGCTTATTTCATAGAGAAAGTAAACTAATGCTATTGCTAATTCTAAGAAATTGCACATTATTATTCGAAATTTTTTTTAAAATTAATTTAATATTATTTATTTTCTTAATAAAAGAAGCGTATTGATAAAATACTTATGCAATTATTTCGGAATTTAATTTCTCAGCAATTTTTTTAACTTTTAATAGATTTTAATGTTACTATTTTACTATTTTAAAATGGAATTAAATTCTTCAAATTTTAATAGATTTATTTAATATATTTCACATTTATCGCCATAAAATATTATAGAAAAATTATTAAAATAGTTTTTTTTTTGTAAGACTTTTAATAAATGATTTAATCAATAAATGTAAAATAATTTTTTTTTTTTTTTTACTGTTAGTTTTTTCTTTGTTTTCAAGAAAATAAACAAGGAAAGATAAATTTATAATACCTGAGCTAGTATATAGCTTCCAAAATTTCCTTTAATTTTAGTTGCATGAATATAATCATCATCTTTAGCATCTTTTTTTGTCACTTTAAGAATTATTGCTCCTTCATTGTAAAGCACAATGTGTTGATAACGATTTTTCTGCAAAAATTATATTTTGCTAATTAATAAAATTTTTTAGCAAATATCTATTTTGTTCGATTTATTTCAACCAAATTAATAAATAATATTTTTCAAATTATTAAAAATTTTGTCAAACTTAGTTATATTATTTGAAATGCATATGATTGATTAATTTCGATTAATTTAAAATTAATTTAAAAAATTAGATGAAAGCAATTTTTTTCTTGTGTTAGAAAATAATATTATTGTTCTTCAAATGTTATAATGCAAATGTTTAATTCTTGACTATTTTAATTTCAGAATAATAATTTAAGCAATTACTTATAAAATTTTTATGAAAGAAATGAAAAACTAAAATAGTTTTTAATTAAAATTAAATATTTAAAAAAGTATATTTGTAGCGGAAATTCCAAAGGAAAATTTTTAAATAAGAAAAAGAAAAAACGAAGTAAAAAATTTTTGAACTTTTACTTTTTGATTTTGCATAAAACTTGATATATGCCGTTCTTTTCGTCGCATTCCATCATGTTCTGTTATCATTTTTAATTTCCCTGCGAACAAATATTACTTATTTAATTCGACGCCTCTTGTTATCAAGTATTTAATTTATTAAATACTATTATCGAGTATTTAAATTAACAAAATTTATTATCAATTATTTAATTAATAAACGAACTTAATAAGTCATTTATAGCATTTACAAATAGCTCTAAAATTAAAGCTTAAAATGGAAGGTGAAAAATTTAATTGCAGCGGCCGTGTAGTTCTTTGAATAAAATTTTAAATATCGCATCTTTTGCTATTTGAATTGATTTTTGCAAATTAAATTTAGATAAAACTTTTTATAATACCTGAAGTTCGTAAATTTTCAGTGAATTTTATAATACTTTCACCTTTAACAAAATTTTGTTCCGAAAGCTTTTGCAACCTTTGATTCTTTTCAAATTGATTTGCTAAAAAATTAGCTAATAAAAGTCCTTTAGCAAAATTATTTGTTTATTTATTTTATATCACATGAAATAATTATATAACAATGATTATGACAACAGTATTGCAAAACTTTCTTATAATATTATTTGATTTTAATAGAAATTTAATTAAGTATCAAACATTAATGAATATCAGAAATTATTATAATTTACATTTATAATGAGAAGCATTAATTAATTGTTTTATCAATTAATAAGCAACAATATATTGCTTGAAATAAACGATACGAAATCACTTGTGAAAATTGAATGTATAAATTAATAAAATATGTAAATCACAAATAAATTATAAAAAATTCATTAGTAAAATTATTATATAATTAATTATAATGAAATGATAAACAATCAAAGATCAAATTTTATCTAAGCAGCGTAATACAATTACTAAAGTAAATTTTTGAATTTTAAATATTAAAAAGAAAAATTTGAACAAAAAATTTTAACTTACACAAAAATAAATTTAGATTTTATTTTTTCTTTTTAAAACAATAAATGAAAATGTTTAACATATTATTACCCATTTCATGCATACATTGAAATGTTTGATATACAAAACCGTTTGCTTCCTAACAATACCTATAAATAAAGGAACTTCAAATTTTATCAATCTTAAATATTTTAATTGATATTTAAGTGAATAAATTAGAATTTAAATTTAAATTAAAAAATCATTTCTCATTTCTTAATCAAATTTTTTTCTTTTTTACCCTAAAAATAGCAATAATTGGTATGGTACATACGTATTATTTATTTAAAAATTTTTTCATACCTAATTTTTTCTTTTTTAACTAAATTTTGTCCTTTCTTACTTTTATCCACTTAATGCTATTTTAGACATCAATAATTTGTACAGTTTATATTTTTTAATTAATTGATTGCTTAATTATTTCTTATTATATTATCAATTTGTTTATTATTTATCAGCTTTTTACTTTCCCTTTTGCTTGTCATATGTTTATATTTGTTTATGAAATTATTATAAAACAAGTTTTTCCTTTTTTTGTTTTCATATAAAAGCAAAAATGATAAAGTAATTCGAAATAACATTATGCTATGAGATGAGTATTCCGGATTTCCTTTTCTTTTCTAATTCCGGTTCTTTCTTTTTTTTTTTTTAAGGCAACAAAGTATATTTGCATCTATTTGTGTTTATTTAAGGGCATCTTTTATAAGTTAATTTAAAATTTTGCAATAACATTGTTAATTTTAGTATGCAATCATAAATAGTGAAACAAATTGTTAAATTATAAACATACTTAATACTATATTGAAAATGACAAAGGAATTAATTGATGTTAATAAATAGATAATTAATCAATTTAACCACAAAAAATTGTGAAAAAATTCACAAATATATATTTTAAGAAAGTTATTACTTAATCTATTTGTCTAATATATAAGTTTTAACTAATTTATTTGCATTTAATTCACTTAAATGTTTATTTTTTTTTTCATTCTTTTCAAATGGAAACATCAATTATTATCTTTCATATTCATTAGCTAACTTTCTTTGCTTACATAATTTAGTTTTATTCTGCTATAAGAGAGAAAAAAAAAAAGCTTCTCGAAATTATTACAATTTTTGGAAGAACTATGAATGAATGCAAACAATTAATTAAATGTAAATATCAAATTAATATTGCTAAAGCAAATAATACTTTTTAATAATTGCAAAATTATGTGCTAATAAATTTTTAAATTAATTATTGATATTTTAAAAAATAAATTACGACAAATTCACCAATTAATTGTTACTATTAAATTACTGTTGCTAAATTAAGAAGCAATATATTAAAGGTAAAAATTTGATTAAATTAAAATTTTCACATTTAAATTTCATTTTCAGCAGTATTTTCAGTGATTGATCATTTGAAAAAAGAAGTGACAAATTTTAAATTTTGAAATAATTTCTTTTCAATTCATTTCATTTGTTCATTTGTGTTATTTGTAAAATTATTTCATCAAATGTAACTGGCAAAATTTTATTTTTGTCTTTCCAAAAATTTTTTTTTTCATTCATTTTGTTGCTCTTTCTCTCTCTCTCTCTCTCTCTCTCTCTCTCTCTCTCTTCCTCTCTCTCATTTAATATCATTTTACACAGCAATTAAAAATCACTAATGTTCCACAGTTTATTTAACTGACCTTCTTTTTCTTTCTCTTTTTTGCTCTACAAAATACATTTGACCCTGTCGTTGACCTAACAACGAATGATATTTTTATTTTGTCACTGTTACTTATTTCCCAAATGTTTGTTTTGTGTTTTAATGTGACCTAAAATATAATATAAAAAATTAAAAAGAAAATGTGAAGTGAATGAAATGAAACAAAAAAAAAAAAAAAAAAAAAAATGAAATAATTAAATGATGGATGATAGATCGGAAAAGAGAAAAAGGAAAGATTAAAAGTAGGTGAAAAATGGTTGTAGTTGACAGTTGTCAAATGATAGTCATACATGACTTTTATTGATAAATAATGCCATTTTACTACCACTTTTTCAATTCTTACCTTTCTTTCCTTCTTTTTTATTTTTTTTGTAATTAAATCATCACTTTTTTTTTTTTCATTGGTTTTACTTTTTTTTTTTTTTTTGTTTCAAAAACGAAAAATGTTGGTATATATCTTTTCTATTTCTTCTCTTCTTTCATTCCTTCGTTTTTTCATTTTGATTTTGAAAAAAAAATTAATTTTAAGTGAAACATTAGAAAATTCAATTAATTTATATGTGCAATTAGATAATTGATTAATTTAAATTTTTAAAATATATCTTATTTATATTTCATCACTATAACTTCCATATTTTTAAATATAAATTTTTAAGAAAATTTGGAAACATTTCGTTATATATATTTTTACTTGAAAATAATTTGAAATTTGATGTAAGTGAAGAAACTGGAAACAAATTTGAAATTAATGTTTAATATATAAAAGAGCCGATTTATTTCATTTAGGAGAATGAAACAAGAAATTTTATTACATTGCTTTTGAATTGATATTTTTAATTTTGGAAATTTTTTTGTGGAAATATTTTATTTTTAATTAATTCTGTTGTATCATTGATTTTATAATTATTATTTTATTGCGATAATTTTGAATAATACGCTAATAAAGTGCTGTTGAAAAAAATTTTAATTCTAATTTTATAATTATTTTGCAAAAAAAAAAAAAAAAAAATAAAGAAATTTGCTTTATTTTCAGATTTTTGAAATTTTAATACCATTTTTGATGGATTAAAAATTTGAAGAAAAATGTTACTACAAGTATTATTACTTATCGCAGCACTTATCTTTCTTTATTATGGCATACGAAATTACTTGGAAACAATTCAACTAGCTAATCTTAATTCTAAGGCAGTTTTCATTAGTGGATGTGATTCTGGCTTTGGCTACTTATTGGCTATTAAATGTGCAAAAAATGGCCTACCAACATTTGCTGGATGTTTAACTGAAGAGGTGTGTTTGTCTTTTTTTAACTTTTACATGTATCTTTTTTTTTTAATTATTATTATTATTTTTAAATGAAAGTAAAATTTTGAAATAAATAATTAAGATAAATGATTTGATTGTGAATGTTATTAATGATAAATAATTATTTTATGTTTTTGTATATTACTTAATTAACTGATGAAATTTGAACGGAAAATAAAGTTTTGAAATGGTAAGATTATAACTGATTTATTATAGTATTATAGAATGCTTATTTAGTAATAATAGATATTGATAATAGATCTTGAAAAGAAAATGATAAAATTAAAGGAAGAAATTTGCATGCTAGCCATTTCTTGAATTCATTTTCTCGAATTCAAACATTGGAAAATGAATTTAAAACATAATTTAAAATATTTGAGCAATATTCGACTATTTTACTCATTTAGGGAATGCAAACAATCAGAGAAGAAGCTAAAAAAACTATCGGAATGTTAATTCCGGTACAAATTGATGTCACCAAAGAAGATTCGGTTCAAAATGCTGTCCGTTTTGTGCAAGAGAATTTGGATTCTAAATTAAGTGCGCAAATTAGACATTAAAATACTATAGCTTTCCATTAATAAATTATGAAAATTAAATTTATAAACAAAAAGTATAATAAATTTTTTAAAAAATATGGTTCAAAATATAAAAAAAAAAATGCAATGAAACTTATTTTTATTTTTCCAAAAAAATTAATCGAAAAAAATTGTTGAAAAATGATAAAATAAAAGAAAATAGTGTAGTAAATCCTTACGTTGTTTAATGCGCAAATCAGACGATTTAATGATTGATATTAACTAATAATTTTTACTGTATTTTTTTTCTTTTGTATGATAAAATAATTGGTTATATTTTATCAGATAACAATGATCTAAAGTTATTTTATAAATTAATCGAAGTAATGAAATTAAAAGTTTATCAATTGAAAATAATTAAGTCAGGTAATAATAATAATTAGGAGTGCTCCAAACATAATTAATTAAAATTATGCCATTTATGAACTAAAAATATTTGTCGAGATTTAATTAATTAAAAATATAAAAAATATCAGGTATAATCGATTAAAAAAATTTCAAACATAATCAATTAAAAATGCGTCAGTCATAATTAATTAAAAATATTTGCGTCACATTTAAACTGTGATGAATCAATTTCTTTCCGGATGCCATTACAAATTACAGTTTGAATTCTGAACCAACATTTAATATTTAAACTTTAATTGGTGATTTATTTATTTGTGAAGTGACATACATACATACATACATGCATACATATAATGGAATACTTTATTTTACAAATTTTGTTATTTTTTATTTAAGTGACGTACATATATATAGAAATTTAATTATATTATTATTATTATTATTAGTCATTTGCAGTGACAATGTGATATTTAATTACTGTGATAATATAATATTTATTTAATATGATTAATTTTTTAGATGCCGCACTTATGAATTTCACTGAAATATATTATTTTATTGATAAATTAATTAATTTGATAATGTGATATTTTTAATGTTATAACAAAATTTTCAAGTAGAATTTCAAGTCTAACAACATTTTTAAAGCAGTTAACTTGCTAATGCAACATTTAATTATTGAAATTATTTCCCTCTGGAATTTTTTTTTTTTTTAATTATCTTTCGTATGTATTTATAATTACTTATTTATTTATCTATTTGTTTATTTATTTTTTTATTTCAGAATTATGGGCATTAGTAAATAATGCTGGATCATTTGGAATTTATGGATATGATGACTGGTGTAAGATTGAGGAATATGAAAAAGATTTGAGTGTGAATACACTTGGCGTTATTCGAGTTACACATGTTTGTACTATTTTATACTTTCAAATTAATCTTATGAGTATTATAAAAAAAAATTTCCGAATAAATTAGAGTAAAATATGTGACTCTTTTTCCTTGCCTTTTAATTAATTTTAAAATTCCAATTTTTTAATAATAGAAAAGAAGAAGAATAGTCGTTTTTTAAACTATTTATTATTTTTATGAATTAATGTTTAATTATCTCAAAAAGCGGAAAGTATTTTAGGCATTTTTGTCTTTGCTAAAGCAATCTCGTGGTCGAGTAATAACAATAACCAGTATTTGTGGTCGTTTAGCATTACCTGGAATTGGCCCATATACTGTCTCAAAATTTGCCACCGAGGCTTATATCAATGTTTTGCGGTAATTTTACAAAGCATTATAATGATTAAATTTTGCAAAAATTTGTTACAACTAGTCATTAAATTACTAGGAATATGTCTTTTGTTCAAATGACTCATTCAAATTACTTTGATAGTTGTTTTTAAAACAAAAAAGAAAAAATAAAGAAATTAAAATTATTCAGAAAACTGATAAATTATTAAAATTAGATTAATTTACAGAAAAAAAAAAAAACTTTTAAAAAAAGAAAAGGAAAAAGGAGAAATACGATGAATATTTGAAGAATGGAAAAGTGATATTTTAGTCAAGAAATGCGAGAATTTGGTGTTCAATGTATAATTTTGGAGCCTGGGCGCTTTCGGACCGGTCTTATGGATAAAAAAGCAATGATAGATCGTATCAGTCGTGTGTGGAATCGTTTGGATAATGCTAAAAAAGCTGAATATGGTGGTGAAGCATTTAAAGAATTATGTAAGTTTTTTTCTTTTTTTTCCTTTCATTAAAAATTATAAATCAAATTTTGGAAATTTAATTAAAAACAAAAATTAATTTTGAATTATGTGATAAATAAGAAAAGTTTTTCAAAAAAAAAGAAAGAAAAGATTACTTGAATAAATAGAATTCAATGAACAGTTATAATTAGAATTATTGGTATATGATAAGTAACATTTAAACATATCATATCATTTCATTTATTGATTGATCTCGTAAATCACAGAGATATGTAATGATCAAAGGTATTATCATAATAAAAAGCTGATTTTTTTCAATATAAAAGAGTCGCGATTCACATCGCCGGTGGATCACACGACTTCCCATGCCGGGAATCGAACCCGGGCCGCGTGGGTGAAAGCCACGAATCCTAGCCACTAGACCACATGGGATTCACGGGTGGGATGACGAAGTAAAATCCAAAAAGAATGAAAATTGAAATTTATTAAATTTAATTGAAAATTTAAATCCCTCAGTTTTTTCTCATCTTTTAAAAACCATATCTATTAGATTTTTGAAAGTATTATCGTCTTTTAAGCCTATTATATATGTATATGAGTTAGTTTTTTTGCTCAATAAAAATTATGAAATAAAATTAGAGAGATAAAATTAAATAAAAATGATTTTAAAGAAATAAAATTAAATAAAAAATGATTTTAATAAATTGTTGTGTAAACATATGCAAAATTTGCTATACAATATATTTTGAGAAAAAAAAAAACTGCAAATTATTAATACATATTAATACAAATTAAATTTGCTTCATTATTTCTGCAAATTTTTCTAGGATTTTATAAAAATGATTTAATACCTATAATGTTTAAAAAAATATCTTATAGTGATAATAGATAAAATTATTGTGCTAATTCCTAATAGAAAATTGTAATTATGTTTTTGTTATAAATATTAATCAGTCATTGTAGTAAATTTTATGCAAATAGTAAGCGAAAATTTTTGATTTTTTTTTTTAAAAAAATTTTCATTTAATTACTTAACTTTCACAAATATTTTTTTCATATTAATTGTAACATTTAAATAATCTTTTTTTTTTTTTTTCAGACAAAATAATTTTATAAAAATTATTTGAATTTCATATTGTTTACAGAAGTGATTTTAATTTTTCATTACAAAATTTGAATTTTTCAGATTGTGAACGTTCGTGTGAATTTTTCAACGATGGTGCATCAACATCATTAAATTTAGTAATTGATTCATACTATCATGCGATCACAGGCAATTTTCCACGATGTCATTATTGTCCCGGATTGGATTCGATATATTTGTTACTTCTATTACTTCCAACCAACATACGAGATTTTCTGATATGTGACTTATACTCTTTCATAACTGGTTGGCCACCAAAAGTAATTCCATCAACATTTAATCTTATTAATGGTTACTTCCTGTTAAAACACACTATAGCTGATTGGTTTATGAAGAAAATTAAAGGGAATGAAATAATTTCATAAATAAAAAACATTTTTTTTTTTTTTTTCAATTTTTGTTTCTGCATATTTTATTATATTTTATTATTTTTATTATTTCATTTAATTATCTAACTTTCACCAATATTTTCTGTCATATTAATTGTAACATTTAAATAATCTATTTTTTATCATATTGTAATGATAATTTTGCAATATTAACTATGAATAAAATAAGTTACAAATATATGTAAACAAACATATGTAACTGAGATATGCATGCATAAATGAATGAAGAATTGATGAAATATAGTGAAACAGTGAAGTAAATGCATGTTTATGATAAATGTAAGGAAAATGGATAATAAATTAAATTAGATGAAATCGCACAAATACTGTGATTGACAGCATACTGTAGCACCGTGGTGGTATATACGGTACGTACAGAACTGGGTGACGTACGTGGTAATTTCATAGCAACAAAATTATGATATTATTTCAGCTTTTATATTTGTAAAGATGGTAAAGTCAATGATATCTAATGAAATATTTATTTTTGATTTCATTGACATAAGTAATGCAATGATACAATTAACAGTGATATAATGAAGAGTAGTATACTGTAGTAATATACTGTAGATACTAGTATGCTTGAATAATTTAAAAAAATATTTGTGCAAAAATGAATTGCATTTTTAGTTTAGCTCAGAAAAAAAACCAATAATAATTAAATGTATGCTTGAATAACTTAAAGTTAATCATATGATAATAATGAAAGATAATGCGATTGATGAACGATAGTGTGACTGATATGATATTTATAACGTATTTGAATAAAGCAATGAAAATGTTGCAGCTTATAAAAGATATGATGTTTTAATTAATAATTAATAGTAAAGATTATTTTTAACTACCACCAAGAACAATCAGATGGGAAAAAAAAAATAGAACCATTATTAATTTCTAATTTTTGTTGCCAATTTTAAACATTAAATTCTATTTGGGTAAATCAATTTGCAATAAACTAACCAAATTCAATTTTAGTTCAGATTTGTTATTTTTGGTTTTGAATTTGTAAAGTTTATTATGGTTTTTTGCTGGATGCAAAAATGAACAAATTTAATGGTTCATTATGGTGGCATATTCGATTTTTTCCATTTTTTTATTTCTTTTATCAAATTAATTCACTCTACATTTCATCAATTTAGGTCATTCTCAATATGGAACGATTTAGTCTCTTGTAGTATTTATAAAAATAAAAAATAAGTGAATAATCTTTTTTTTTCAGTGCTTTTTTTTTTTTTTTTTTCGAAAACGTCATCGTATCAAATATACCTTGTTGTGGCTATTTTTGCTTATTGAAAATATTTTATTATATATGAAAATTTAAAAATCGTCATTTACATTTATAAATTTTTAAAATTTTTGCCCTCTTTTCAATTTCAAATAAATTTCTGATCAATTTTATGTGTTTAATTCATGTCGTTAACCTATAAAGTTGACACTAAATTTTAGTTAAAATCAATTTAATAGTATTGTTGTTCAATATTTGATGGCATTTTACGTTTGGTATTTAGTTATACTCTTTTTTTCTTTTTTTTAAATATGTATTTGCAACACTTCTACCTGTTTTTAGTATGTGATAAAGATTAATCCATACTTAGCCATGTTTAGTACTTTGTAACATCCTACTCAAGTTTAAATTTTTTTTTTACTAACATCTTAGCCCCAATTGATAAATGTTATAAGTCATCGTATCAAGAAAAAAAAAAAGACAGTGAATATTTTGTAAATATTCAAGAAACTAGCGAAAATTACATTTTTGATGTTAATATTAAAATAATACTATTACTAAAATACTACCTTAATGTTTCACAACTTTCATGTATTATCATCAGATTTTTTGTGAGAAATTTCAAAATAATAAATTTTATGTCCAATTTTTATATTTATTCCAAAAAGGATTTTTTTTAAAGTAATTATTATAAACAATTAAAAAGATAATTTTGAAAGGCTTCAAGTTAATTACTAATGATTATAAATGAGTTATAATTTGTGAGCAAATGCACAAACCAATAATGTATATTAGAACATTTTGTAATAGCTCCATTAAGTTAGAGTTGAAATTTTAAATTAAATTAGTAACAAGTTAAAGAAGTCAATTTGTGTAATAAAATTTCTACAATTAAAAAAAAACCAGTATGTAAAAATTAAAAATATTACGGATTTGCAGTAATAATCATTGTTTTAAATAGAGAAAAGAGAGCAATCATAGATCAAATATTTTCAAGAAATTTCCATTGATTTATTCTAGAATCTAAAATAAGAATTAGTACTTAAAAATAATGATAAGTAATACATAAACAATGATAATTGACAACAAACGATTAAAATGTAATAAAAGATAATGATTAAATAATTTTAGTTTTTTATTGGTATATTAGTATAGTTTTAGAACGATGAGCATGTCGTTTTAAGATTTTTAAACCATAAATAAAAAATTTAAAAAGAAAATTTAAACGTACTAAGATAAAAAAATTTTTTTAAAAAATTCACATTCTTACAAAAAAAATTTTTAAATTAATAATTTGAAACCGAGGTTTTCATATTGTAATGATATAATGCGTAGTAATAAATTCAATTGAATTAGCAATGATAATTCTTGTTTTTTTTTTCCTTTTTCTTTTCTTATCTTCACTTTGCTTTGATAATTTAAACTGCTAAAAATTAAATGTTTTATTCTTTTGTTATTTTTTTTTTGTAATAAAAATAAAAATTTCAACAAATTGATATAATTTTTTGATGTTTATTCCTTTCAAAAATTTCTTAATAATTTCTTTTTATTTTTTACTAATAATTGAAAATTTATTAAAATATCTTATACGAAATTATACTATACGAAATAATGTTAAACTATTAAAATATTTGGCTGACGAATGATTTGAAACATTTAACCAACTTTCTTCATTTAACAAATAATTAGGTCAATGTATCGATATGGTCAATGGCTATAAGGGCATTAGTGTTGTTATGTTACATAAGTGACCATTCATTTTAACAAATATATAAATATTTATTGGCATAAATAGCCATTCATTCTAAAATGTATGAATTGAGAAATGGAAATAGCAATAGGGTTCCTTTCTCTTTCTTGAGAATCAGTAATAAATGTACCATTTACAATTTTATTTACTTTTATATGAGCCAAAAATGTCCTTGAAATTTATCATTTATCAATGATCTCCTATTTATTTCATTTAATATTGTGCTAGTGCTTTATTTAATCGTATATTTTTATTTTTATTCGAAAAAATATTTTCTTAAAAATGATTCAAATCATTTAACAATTTTAATAGATTTTTTTTATTTTAAATTTGCTAAAAATTATTGCATAAATATGTCGAATATTAGAGTTATTGTATTTATTGTATGTTTCTATAATATATATTACATAGTCATATTGTTTCATTTCAAAAAAAAAAAAAAGAAGCACTTTATTTAGTTTTAAAAAAAGTTTGTACCTAAGTATATATTTTCACGCTGTTCATAAAATTATTTCATTTTTAATGTATTTTTTATACATTTTTTTTTTGTATGTGTTGATAAAATTCATTTTTATAATACGGTTTTATAGAACAAGTAACATTAATTAAAATGTAAGTAATAATAAGTAATAATAATAATAATAAATATTAAATGATCGTGTTATTTGCAAAACAAAAATTATAAGTGTTATTATAACTATATACAAGAAAGCAGAAAGCATCAAATAATAATATTTAATTTTCAACAATTAGGAAATCTGAAAATTATTGAAATGAGTGAAATTTTATAAACTGATATCATTTATTTGTTTTTTCCATTCTTATTAATCTTATATGAAAAAAAAAAAATGCAATTCAAGAGCTATTGTGATGTTTAAGGATATTTAGCTCAGATATAAAACTTGAAACAGTTCATTTTTATTTGTATTATTATTGTTTGATAATTATTTGATAACTAAAAAGATTAAAGGGATGAGAAATATATCAATGATAATTACAATGCATTAGTGAATGTGAGGGTAAACATAAACAAAATAGTAAACATAAACAAAAGTAAAAAATTAAATTCATTTATTGTTTAGATGAAAGATAAAAGTATTTGAAGTGTGACTGCGAAAAAATGAATAAAAATTTTTTAGTGCTTTTTTGGAAAAATTTCGTTAGATTTTTTTTTTCTTTCAGTTTTATCACAATTGATAAATGATTAAAGAATAATCGATAAACAGTATTTATGCATAGAAAGCGAAAAACAATACTTATAATCGATAAATAACATTTATGATCGATAAATAATATTTATAATCGGTTAATAATATTTTATGATCGATAAACATTATTTGTAATTGATAAGCAATATTAAATGCATTTTTATACTTTCAATAATATTAAAAGCAAATGATACTAAAAGGAAAAATCTTATTTATACCTTACAAATAATACTACAATGTATTTGCAATTATTTACAGATAATTGAAGTAAATAATATTTATTACTATTGTTAAAAAATTTGCGGTTCATTCATCCACTTATTTTCTTAGTTACCTAAACTAAGCTTAACTTAGCTTATATTAATTAATCTATCAATTAGTTAAATCATTTATTAAAATGGTAACTGTCATTCACTTTTGTTGTTCGTTTCACTTTCCGGAATTTATGGTCATAATTTCAGTCAGCTAAATTATTTCGAATTTAAAACTGAATTAAAGCTCTTTTTCTCAACATCCAAACAAGAACGACAATAACAATAATAGCAATAATAATAACAACAACAACAACAGCAATAGCACAACAACAATAAAAAGAAAAGCTTACCGAATTGCCATTGCAAAATTTGATAGAAAAATCGATCCCATTCGTCCGATAGTTTTCGTAAGAGTTTTTCCATCTTTTTAAAAAGATTTTTTCTTTTTTTTTTTTTTTTTCAAAATGAAAAATTATGATTTCAATTATTAGCGAAAAGAGAAAATCAATTAAATGAATGGGGGTCGATGCGGATGATCA